CAACTACTAAGTTTGTTATCGCTAATTCGCCTTTCTTTAGGTTTTCTTCTTGTGGTTTTTGCTATTTTATTTTGTTTTTCTTTTTTTTTAATTTCAATTTGATTTTCCTGTTGTACATTCATTCGTTTCGATTACGAATTATTTGAAAATATTTTTATGTCGTTTACACAAAGTTTTTTTTTTTTGTATTTTTTCCTTAAAAAAAATTTGTTTGCATTTGGTAGCTTGTTTGTTTGCTTCAAGTACTATGCTGCTAAATATAAAACAAAATTTTCTGTTTATTTCAATATCTTGTGAGGTATTTCATGTTTTAGTTTTACAAAATGAAAAACTAAAAAAAAACTATTGCAAAAATCTTAAAATGAAATTAAAAAAAATATATAAATGAATTCATCATTTGCTTGGCTACTTGTTAGTTCGACACAATCAAATCATTTAAAATAATAATAAATATTTATCATTTTTTTATATACTAAACATACCCATTGTGCATAAGAATACATTCATTAATTCATTCATTAGTTTAGAAAATGTTATTTCAAAATTATTATAATTTGTAATTAAATTAAAAAATTATCAAAAAGCCCCTGCTTAGGATGGAGAGAAAAGATGTTAATCTTTGAAAACGGAACCAGAACTGATAAAACTAATTCAGAATTAAACCAAAACTATACAGGAACTGAACAGAACTGAACTAGAACTGAAAGGAGAACTGAACTAGAACTGAACTAGAACTGAACTAGAACTGAACTAGAACTGAGAACCAGAACTGAACTAGAACTGAACTAGACTGAACTAGAACTGAACTAGAACTGAACTAGAACTGAACTAGAACTGAACTAGAACTGAACTAGAACTGAACTAGAACTGACTAGAACTGAAAACTAGAACATGAACTAGAATTGAACTAAATTGAACTAGAACTGAAACTAGAACCTGAACTAGAACTGAACTAAAACTGAACTAGAACTGAACTAGAACTGAACTAGAACTGAACTCAAAAAGAACTTATAGAACTAGAACTAGAACTGAAACTAGAACTAGAACTGAACTAGAACTAACAGAACTGAACTAGAACTGAACTAGAACTGAACTATAACTGAACTAGAACTGAACTAGAACTGAACTAGAACTGAACTAGAACTGAACTAGAACTGAACTAGAACTGAACTAGAACTGACTAGAACTGAACTAGAACTGAACTAGAACTGAACTAGAACTGAACTAGAATTGAACTAGAACTGAACTAGAACTGAACTAGAACTGAACTAGAACTGACTAACACTAGACTGAACTAGAACTGAACTGAACTAGAACTGAACTAGAACGAACTAGAACTGAACTAGAACTGAACTAGAACTGAACGAGAACGGAACTAGAACTGAACTAGAACTGAACTAGAACTGACTAGAACTGAACTAGAACTGAACGAGAAATGAACTAGAACTGAACTAGAACTGATACTAGAACTGAACTAGAAACTGAACTAGAACTGAACTAGAACTGAACTGAACTGAACTAGAACTGAACTAGAACTGAACTAGAACTGAACTAGACTGAACTAGACACTGAACTAGAACTGACCTAGAACTGACTAGAAATGAACTAGAACTGAACTAGAACTGACACTTACTGAACTAGAACTGAACTAGAACTGAAACTAGAACTGAACTAGAACTGAACTAGAACTGAACTAGAACTGGAACTAGCACTAGACGATGGATCTGAACATTTGTATTTGATTGTTATTGATAAAAAATATCGGTAACTTAGAATGGAAAGTCGCTAGGTTTGTCTTTACAAAAAAATATTCATTTAAAAATATTTTTTTTTTTTTTTTTTTTTTTTATATTGTAATATTATTTTTGTATATGTTGAGATTTTAAAATAGTTCATAAACAGTTTAGTAGAAATTGAATATTTAAAGATTAAGCACATTTTATATTTAGATACAAAACTGTTGAATCGGTTATGGCTTGTAAACATTGAATTATTTTATTGCACTTTAAATAGAAAGAAATTTTCTTTTAAAATATTTCATTCAACAACAGAGACCCAAAATAAACATTCAAATAAAAAAAAATTAACAATGAATTTAATAAAATTAGCAACCTGGTTCTGTGGTTTATTTTCGTTATTCTATTTGATTTTTATCCTCTTCTATTATCACCATCAACAATATATCGAGTGAAAAAAGAACGAAAATAAAAGACTCAATTTCAAATAGCCACGAATTTTAATTTCGAATTTTGGATTATTAAAGAAATAATTATTGAGCAGTAAATATCCAGTTTTGGTATGTGAAATGTGCGTGTATAATTAAACTATTCTTAAGATGATTTACAATACTAGAGTAGTGTTATTATTTGTTTGCATGTCTGTTCTTGTCATGTCTTCTTATTAGACAGATTGTTTGCCCTAGCACAATAATAATATTATTTGCCAAATGTAGCAGACCAAGCAGTCAGACAGCCAGCTAGAAAGTCAACCAAACCAAACGTCCGACCATCATCCGCCAAACATCCATTCATACATACAACCACCCACCCACATATTCACTTACACTCACTCACTACTCATAATAATGCCACCAAAAGCTTTTCATTTCAAATATGTTCGTATTAGAACAATAACATTAAATAACAATAAGAGATATAAAACTATTTCCTCCCTCCCAAATGAAAATAAAGGAAAACATTGCTAGAGTACAAAATAGAGGCGAAACTGTTAGCGAAGTAAAGTAAACATAAAGCAGTAAATAGTTCGGCATTCAAAAGCAAAACCTCTAGGTGTTAGTTTAGCTTTATTTTCTATAACATTTTTTTTTTTTTTTTAACATTTAGTCTCGCTTCTAGGTGCTTTTCTATAATCAATATTTTCTCGTTATTATGTTTTTTATATAGACTTAGAACATACACATATATTTTTGATAGTTGTTTAATAAAAAATAAAATAATCTTAATAGAAAATACTTATTATATAAAACAACATCGACTAGTGATAGTATATCAAATAATACTCATATTATACTTAATTGTTTGGCCATGAAATTTATTATTCAAAGACCCTTCTTTTTGCCTACTGTGTATTTTGGTCAAAATAGTTATTATTTATTGAAGAAAGTTTTGATTAATTGGATGAGGTTAATGAATCCAGGTTAGTTAGTTATTATCAATTTAGAACTGAAATAGAACTGAACTAGTTGTAGTTCATACAAATACAAATGAACTACAGTTGAACTACAACTGAACTAGAACTGAACTAGAACAGACTAGAACTGAACTAGAACTGAACTAGAACTGAACTAGAACTGAACTAGAACTGAACTAGAACTAAACTAGAACTGAACTAGAACTGAACTGAACTGAACGAACTGAACTAGAACTGAACTAGAACTGAACGAACTGAACTAAACTGAACTAGAACTGAACTAGAACTGAACTAGAACTGAACTAGAACTGAACTAGAACTAACTAGAACTGAACTAGAACTGAACTAGAACTGAACTAGAACTGAACTAGAACTGAACTAGAACTGAACTAGAACTAAACTAGAACTGAACTAGAACTGAACTAGAACTGAACTAGAACTGAACTAGAACTGAACTAGAACTGAACTAGAACTGAACTAAACTGAACTAGAACTGAACTAGAACTGAACTAGAACTGAACTAGAACTGAACTAGAAAAACTAAAAAACTAGAACTGAACTAGAACTGAACTAGAACTGAACTAGAACTGAACTAGAACTGAACTAGAACTGAACTAGAACTGAACTAGAACTGAACTAGAACTGAACTAGAACTGAACTAGAACTGAACTAGAACTGAAAGAACTGAACTAGAACTGAACTAGAACTGAACTAGAACTGAACTAGAACTGAACTAGAACTGAACTGAACAGACTGAACTAGAACTGAACTAGAACTGAACTAGAACTGAACTAGAACTGACTAGAACTGAACTGAAACTGAACTAAACTGAACTAGAACTGAACTAAAACTGAACTAGAACTGAACTAGAACTGAACTAGAACTGAACTAGAACTGAACTAGAACTGAACTAGAACTAACTAGAACTGAACTAGAACTGAACTAGAACTGAACTAGAACTGAACTAGAACTGAACTAGAACTGAACTAGAACTGAACTAGAACTGAACTAGAACTGAACTAGAACTGAACTAGAACTGAACTAGAACTGAACTAGAACTGAACTAGAACTGAACTAGAACTGAACTAGAACTGAACTGACTGAACTAGAACTGAACTACTGAACTAGAACTGAACTAAACTGAACTAGAACTGAACTAGAACTGAACTAGAACTGAACTAGAACTGAACTAGAACTAAACTAGAACTGAACTAGAACTGAACTAGAACTGAACTAGAACTGAACTAGAACTGAACTAGAACTGAACTAGAACTGAACTAGAACTGAACTAGAACTGAACTAGAACTGAACTAGAACTGAACTAGAACTGAACTAGAACTGAACTAGAACTGAACTAGAACTGAACTAGAACTGAACTAGAACTGAACTAGAACTGAACTAGAACTGAACTAGAACTGAACTAGAACTGAACTAGAACTGAACTAGAACTGAACTAGAACTGAACTAGAACTGAACTAGAACTGAACTAGAACTGAACTAGAACTGAAACTAGAACTGAACTAGAACTGAACTAGAACTGAACTAGAACTGAACTAGAACTGAACTAGAACTGAACTAGAACTGAACTAGACTAAACTGGAACTCAACTAGAACTGAATGAGAACTGAACTAAAACATCTACTTTAATAGTTCGAACATAAGTTAATGATTCAATGATTAGGGCTTTTAATCTCTCCCACACCCTATTGATCTTGACTATTCTGACACCTAAGCCATTTATTAAAAATAATTACATGCATATTTTTATAATGGAAAAATTTTACTGAAATTCTTATCAATCCTATCTAATCGAACAAATCGAAATTCTTTTTTTCCGTTTTTAATTCTAGTCAAAAATTTTCTTTGATGATAAAATAACAATGATTGCCGCTAGTAGCAGTTTATAATTTGTAAAACTACGATAATTTTGTTTAGATGGCAGCAACAAATATTTAAGCAAAATTTTAAGTATGCCGTACAAATTTGTATTTGTAAAAAAATTGTTCGCGTTTTAGTGAAAAATCCTTCAAAGCATAAAATATTTTAACGAATATTATAATAACTTAAATAAGCAACAATCAAGAAATTATAATAAATCTAATTAAAATAAATTTAAATACAACAAATTAAATTATAAGAAGATTAAAAAACAACAAGTGATTAAAACCAAAACCTAAAACCAAAAAAATAAAATAAATAATAATAAAAAGAAGAAAAATTTAAGTAAAACTTACTAAATGCATGAAAACGAAAAACGAATGACTAGAAATTATAAAGAGAACAAAAATATTAGACGAAATCAAATTCACTCCTCCTCATACCGCCATCAAAAAACAGCCGAAAACTACCGCACACAAACACATACAGAACTACTTCACACACATAAGTACATACAAACAAGCTAGATAAATAAACAAAAAGAAATATCGAAATCAAATCCACATTGTTTCTCAAATGCCCGATACCACCAGTATTGGTCGACACAACAAACTACAAATCAAACAATTGTGCAAATCAATGAAAAATTGTCGAAAACACAAAAGGCTAAAGTCAATAAAACGCGTTAGCTTTAATTGTGAACGATTAGCGACGATAACGACAAGCAACAACAACAATTAACAGGATTAAAAGAAAATCGAAAGATTAACTTAAAAATATAACGAATTTTTGATACAACTAAAACTTTAAAAAAGATCCCGAAATTTATCCAAATTGGATAAAACGTCATGCAGCAGGCGGAACAGCAACAAAATGGTATGATAAGTGACGGAGCCGGTGGCCCAGCTAGTTCCCAGGCAGTGGGAGCGGGCTCGGGCAAAAGAACACAAATTAGTGGTGGTCGATTTGATTTCGAAGATGGCGGCACATATTGTGGCGGTTGGGATGAGGGTAAAGCACATGGTCATGGTGTGTGTACCGGACCGAAACATCAGGGAGCTTATGCTGGTGCCTGGAATTATGGCTTTGAGGTGTCGGGAGCGTATATATGGCCAAGGTAAGTTTAGAAGTAGAAATGAAGTAGAATTAAACTAAAAACAAAACTAAATTTGGTTTGAACAGAACTAGAACAGAACTAGAACAGAACTAGAACAGCACTAGAACAGAACTAGAACAGAACTAGAACAGAACTAGAACAGAACAAGAACAGAACTAGAAATAGAAATGCACTAGAACGGAACTAGAACGGAACTAGAACAGAACTAGAACGGAACTAGAACAGAACTAGAACAGAACTAGAACAGAACTAGAACAGAACTAGAACAGAACTAGAACAGAACTAGAACAGAACTAGAACAGAACTAGAACTAAAACTAGAACTAAAACTAGAACTAAAACTAGAACTAAAACTAGAACTAGAACTAAAACTAAAACTAGAACTAAAACTAAAACTAGAACTAAAACTAGAACTAGAACAGAACTAGAACAGAAGTAGAACAGAAGTAGAACAGAACTAGAACAGAACTGGAACAGAACTAGAACAGAAAGAACTAGAACAGAACTAGAACAGAACTAGAACAGAACTAGAACAGAACTAGAACAGAACTAGAACAGAACAGAACTAGAACAGAACTAGAACAGAACTAGAACAGAACTAGAACAGAACTAGAACAGAACTAGAACAGAACTAGAACAGAACTAGAACAGAACTAGAACAGAACTAGAACAGAACTAGAACAGAACTAGAACTAGAACAGAACTAAAACATAGCTAGGACCTTATATTTTATGGACAGACATACATAAAGTCAATTCCACTACATGTAAGATTCCAGAATATTGTTTGAAATTTTCTAAAGCAATGTGAAATAAATACAAATAAGATTTATTACAATCCAAGACTGGGCAGCTGTTATGCATAATAATTTTTTAAATTCTTGTAATGGAAACAAATGTATATTGATTAGAAATAATTTACTTTTTCTTTCATCTCATTCTACTTGGACTTTAATTATTTAATACAATCATAATTTCCAGCGGTTCCCACTACGAGGGTCAGTGGCAAAATGGTCGACGCCATGGCCTAGGTATAGAGCAAATTGGCCGACAGGTGTATCGTGGAGAATGGTCGAAAGATGGACACAAAGGACGTTATGGTGTACGAGAGAGTACTGTATCAACGGCACGCTACGAAGGCACCTGGAATTTGGGTTATCAAGATGGTTACGGTTGTGAAACATATGCTGATGGAGGTAAGTGGACTTTTTACCTATAAATACTTAACTAAGTGTCTACGCATGAGGGTCTTGTAGAGAAGTGGTTTTGAATGTAAAGAGCAAATACGAAAGCATAACAAAGGCTAAAGAAGAACATACTTGGGGTGGGTGCATTTGTTGCAGTCCTTTTTGTGTGGCATATAGTACACAATAGCATAAAAGAAATCTTAATATAACAAATGCACACACAATATTATTCAATATAAATACATACACATGTATATTGAGACCAGATATGTATGGTCATTAGGGTGACACAATTTGGAAGAAACTAAGAAACTTGCTAATAATTCGTATACAAATGTCGATAATTCTGTATAAATATGAACTATTCTCAAATATAATTTAAATTGAATAATTCTGAACTAAAAAAAACTAAAACTTAGTTAGAACTGATTTAGAGCTAAACATGAACTGAACTAGAACTGAACTAGAACTAGAACTGAACTAGAACTGAACTAGAACTGAACTAGAACTGAACTAGAACTGAACTAGAACTGAACTAGAACTGAACTAGAACTGAACTAGAACTGAACTAGAACTGAACTAGAACTGAACTAGAACTGAACTAGAACTGAACTGAACTAGAACTGAACTAGAACTGAACTAGAACTGAACTAGAACTGAACTAGAACTGAACTAGAACTGAACTAGAACTGAACTAGAACTGAACTAGAACTGAACTAGAACTGAACTAGAACTGAACTAGAACTGAACTAGAACTGAACTAGAACTGAACTAGAACTGAACTAGAACTGAACTAGAACTGAACTAGAACTGAACTAGAACTGAACTAGAACTGAACTAGAACTGAACTAGAACTGAACTAGAACTGAACTAGAACTGAACTAGAACTGAACTAGAACTGAACTAGAACTGAACTAGAACTGAACTAGAACTGAACTAGAACTGAACTAGAACTGAACTAGAACTGAACTAGAACTGAACTAGAACTGAACTAGAACTGAACTAGAACTGAACTAGAACTGAACTAGAACTGAACTAGAACTGAACTAGAACTGAACTAGAACTGAACTAGAACTGAACTAGAACTGAACTAGAACTGAACTAGAACTGAACTAGAACTGAACTAGAACTGAACTAGAACTGAACTAGAACTGAACTAGAACTGAACTAGAACTGAACTAGAACTGAACTAGAACTGAACTTGAACTGAACTAGAACTGAACTAGAACTGAACTAGAACTGAACTAGAACTGAACTAGAACTGAACTAGAACTGAACTAGAACTGAACTAGAACTGAACTAGAACTGAACTAGAACTGAACTAGAACTGAACTAGAACTGAACTAGAACTGAACTAGAACTTGAACTAGAACTGAACTAGAACTGAACTAGAACTGAACTAGAACTGAACTAGAACTGAACTAGAACTGAACTAGAACTGAACTAGAACTGAACTAGAACTGAACTAGAACTGAACTAGAACTGAACTAGAACTGAACTAGAAACAGAACTAGAACTGAACTAGAACTGAACTAGAACTGAACTAGAACTGACTAGACTGAACTAGAACTGAACTAGAACTGACTAAACGAACTAGAACTAACTAGAACTGAACTAGAACTGAACTAGAACTGAACTAGAACTGAACTAGAAACTGAAAGAACTGAACTAGAACTGAACTAGAATTGAACTAGAACTGAACTAGAACTGAACTAGAACTGAACTAGAACTGAACTAGAACTGAACTAGAACTGAACTAGAACTGAACTAGAACTGAACTAGAACTGAACTAGAACGGAACTAGAACTGAACTAGAACTGAACTAGAACTGAACTAGAACTGAACTAGAACTGAACTAGAACAGAACTAGAACTGAACTAGAACTGAACTAGAACTGAACTAGAACTGAACTGAACTAGAACTGAACTAGAACTGAACTAGAACTGAACTAGAACTGAACTAGAACTGAACTAGAACTGAACTAGAACTGAACTAGAACTGAACTAGAACTGAACTAGAACTAAAGCTAATCGAGAAATTGTTTAAACTATTAAAGAACAAACTATTTCCATAGCGCTCCCTAATGTGCATGAGTGTATTTATTGTATTGAAATGAAATTGTATGTACGAATACATATGTTGGTAAAATTTTAAACATACTTTTTTGTTTTGTTGTTGTTGCTGTATGTACGAATATTTATGTTTATTGTGTGTGCATGAGATCATTTTTTTCCTTCGCTGCTGTTGTTGTTGGTTTTCTTTCTTGGCTCCCATTCAAAACATCAAAACGACATTGTTGTTTGTAGTGGGGGTTTAAAAGAGCATGTACAATTTGTATGTATTTCTTATAAATATATAGTCATATCTGTTGTATGCGTGTGTATATATTTTATTTGTTATTTGGTTCATTTTCATCTATAGTTTTTAAATTTTAAAGAAATAAAGAATATTATTTATATTATAAATATTTATTTGAAAAAATACATACCAAAAATGTGAATTGTACAAACTGACGTCATATTTTTCTGGCTGCCACTCACTAATTCATGTTGAATTTTTTAATTGCGATATCGTGTTTACTTTACGTTTTTTGTTCTTACTTTACTGCACAACAACAACAATAATAGGAAAATACAAATACAAGTTCAATAGATTTTGATTATTTCTTTTATCTACTCCAAACATTTTACTTTCGATGCGTATACGTAATATTTATTATTTATTTGAAGTTTTCATACGTACTGTGGGTTTAGTTCTCATGCAGTTTAAATATACAATTTTCTTGGGAAGAATTGTTAACTCATTCCATCATTTAAAAGTTGAGGGCAAGATAACACTTTTATAAATAGACATACCTGAATTATTATTGTTGCTGAACAATGTGTTTATGTCCTTTATTTTTAAAATCTTAATCCATTTTAATTAGAACAGATGGGTACAGTTCCATTTCAGTTTTCTACTGGGTTCTGCAAAGCTGAAAGTAATATGGAAATTCATTAATTTGACATATCTTTTGTACAAAAAAAATTATATTGATTTAAAGAAAATGTCTATTAAATAATTTCATTAAGAGAAGTTTTTATCTCTATATCATTTTAGTTCAACAAAAAGCATTTTTAACAGTCGTTTTTTTAACCTTTATCATAAAAGGCTTTATAAAATTTTCACAAAAAACCAAGGTTTTTTCCCCACTTTTTATGATGACTTTTCCTTCCTTACCAAAAACGATTTTTTCGTTTTTTTTTTTTTTTTGTTCAAAAAAGCTTTTATAATTTTTTTCCCTAAAAGCTTTTTACTTCAAAAAAGCACTTGAATTTTTCAAAAAAAGAACTCTCTTATGTATTTTGTCAAAAAAGCTTTCTTATTTTTTCGTTAAAATAGCTTTCTTACTTTTAGTCCAAAATACATTTCTTAATAAGCTTGTTTTTATAAGAAACAGCTTTTTAAAATTTTCACAAAAAAAAGATTTTTTCCAAAGAAGCTTTTTATGTCAAAAACCTGTCTTGCATTTTTCGTCAAAAACGATCCCTTGCCTTTTTCGCCAAAAAAGCTTTTTCACTTTTCTCGTCAAAAAAGCTCTCTTACTTTTCTCGTCAAAAAAACTTTCTTACTTTTTTTCACCAAAAAATGTTTCGCAAAAAAGTTTTTACGTCAGAAAATCTCTTTTTCGACAAAAAAGCTTAAAAGTTGAAAAAAATTTCTTAAAACAGCTTTTCTTACTAAAAGCTTACTAATATAGTAAAACAGTTTAAAAACATTTCTTAAAAGAGCCTTTTCTACGAAAAAAACGTTTTAATTTGTGTTCATCAAAAAAGCTTTTTAATAAAAAATGTTTTTTTTATAGAAAAGTAAAATGATTTATTCAACAAAAAGCTTTTTTAATGTTCCTCTTTTCTTCAAAAAAGCTTTCTTACATTTATCATCGAAAAAAGCTTTCTACTTTTTCCCCAGAAGTTTAAAAAAAAACATTTTGGAATAGGCTGTTTTTACAAAAAAAAAAATCCTTTTCAATTGTGTTCACTAAAAAAGCTTTTTACATATAAAAATAAAGTTTTTTCTTCAAAAAAGCTTCCTTTTATCGTCGAAAAAAAGCTTTCTATTTTTTTCCCAGAAGTTTAAAAAACATTTTTTGAAAGAGCTTTTCTTACTAAAAAACTCCTAAAAAGTTTTTTACATTTAAAAGTAAAGCTTTTATCGAAAAGAAAAACTTTTTAACGTTTTTTCAAAGAAGCTGTTTTACTTGTTATTGTCAGAGAAGCTTTTGTACTCTTCCAAAAAACAACTTTTTGCTCTATTTCAAAATCTCCAATAAAAAGCTTTTTTATGCAAAGAGAACATTTTTCAAAATCGGTCCATAAATAACCAAGACAAACTGTGAAATTTGTGTCAAAAAATCAGAATTTTTTGAATAAATTTCAAAATCTGTTTTAAATTAAAACATTAAAAATTCAAAAGATTTTTAATAGCTTCAGCTTTTGATCCCTTAAAAGCTCTGCTCCTAAGGGACTGCAATGCTTAATTGTTATTTTCAATTATAGTTATATAAAACAGGGGGTTGGTTCTTCCTAAAAGGATTGAAGAAAAACAACAAGACTCAGTAACGTTTATTGTCATTTAATGCAAATATTTTTGCAATGCAATCGTGAATATGGCAATAAAATATACACAATGTTGCTCTTTTGTGTTCAAGGACACATTAAATGTACTTTTTCTCGTATTTTACTAAATGTAGTTGTGTTTGTAGATATCTTGGACTATAGAATGCAATTCCTTTAACGTTTTGTATGAAACGGATATGCAGAAATGTACTTACACTAATAAAAATGAATGTCAGTTACTTTCTATTTACACGACGGTTATTTATGTTGAGAAGTTGGGGAAAGAAGAAAACAAATATAGAATAAACTATTGTTAAACAGAGAACGAAATGAAAATGAGCTACATTCAGAAGATCTAAGAGAAGTTGTGATGTGCTATTAACACACATGAGAAAGTTTGTAATTTCTTATAATTATGTTATAAAATAATGTAGGGTGCATTAGAACAAAAATATCTTTATTGTAATTGTTCCATTTTAGTTTTAATTATGCACTAAAGTTAATTTATTTTATTACCTCTCTATTCTATGTGTCATCCTCTTCCATAGGTAAATACCAGGGCCAGTGGCAAGAGGGCAAACGTCATGGTTATGGTATACGCACTTCGGCGCCATTTGGCTTGGCCTCTCATCATAAACGTAAAGATGTACACGCCTCATTATCATCACTGCGTAGCAATGAAAATGCTGCAAATGCGGCAAAAAATGCCAGTCGAACCGAAGAGGTAAGAGGTGGATTTGTGCTGACCGCCCGGTCGGATAAGTTACCGGTCAGACGCAACAGTCTGTCGGAAAAAACGAAAAAGGGATTCTTATCGGTAAGGGGAAATTTAAATAATTCCATCACAAGTAAATCATAAATAAATTTTTTAAATTAAAGGGTTTAAAAATGAGAAAACAGCGCAGCACCGGAGATCTGGAGAAGAGAGGAACTTTAGCCTCGGGCAGTATACGTTCTACAATGTCTACGGCCTCTTGGCTTAGTACAGGTTCCGAGCTATCCAATTTAACCGCAAAGTAAGGGATTATTACCCTTGATTAAAAACTTCTATATAAATTCTATGTATTTAATTCCTTTCTAGATCTATGCATACAGAGTCTAATGCCAGCTTTACCATGGAAGATGAACAATTAGATCCCAGTGTGGTGGAAACCTATATGGGTGAATGGAAGAAAGATAAACGTTGTGGCTTTGGTGTGGCCGAGCGTAGTGATGGCCTTAAATACGAAGGCGAATGGTATAACAATAAGAAGCACGGCTATGGTGTGACCACTTTCAAAGATGGTTCCTTTGAGGAGGGCAAATATAAGAACAACATTTTAATTACCAGTCAAAAGAAAAAGCATTTGTTTATTGCCCGTTCACGCAAGTTCCGAGAACGTATCTCGGCTTCGGTGACTTCGGCTCAGCGTGCTCTTAAAATGGCCATGCAACGTTCAGATATTGCCATATCGCGTACCGGGACTGCCAATACCAAGGCCCAAAGTGCTGATATTGCTGCCGATCAGGCACGCATCGACTGCGAGTTGGCTGTGCAAATGGCCCGTGAGTTTGCCCCTGATTTTAAGCCTTCTGTGCTAGAACGCTTTGAAAAATTAAGGTTCCGCGAACGACACAAAGGACCAGCGGCTCAATTCAGCAGCAGTAATGCGGCTGCTGAATCGTATGCTAGCACAGCGGTTGCCCAAAGGCCTACGGGTTTCCAAAAGAACCGTGATGGCTCTCAGCCTCAACGGGAATCGGAGTTTCCCGTACCCAGTTCGATGTATTCCCAACAATTGCCAGTTTCTCCACAAACCGATTTGTCATCCCTGGTTAATCAACCACAAATGAGTGCCATAAATACCATCAATCAGATGTACCATCAACAACAGCAGCAGCAACAACAACAGCAAAATAATCCACAAATGAATCCCGCATATCAGTACCAGCCACAGCAACCGCCAGGGTCAAACTATGCTCACAGTAATCTAAGTGCTAGTGGCAGTCCGCAAGTTTCGCAATTGCAAAAGGATAATAACATGTTTAAAAACGCGGAAGCCGCCCACACGGCCAACAATATGCCGCAACAACAGCAGCAGCAAATCAACTTGCAGCAACAACAGCAGCAGCAACAGCAAATGCAACAACTGCAGCAACAGCAACAACTACAGCAGCAGCAACAATTGCAACAGCAACAACAACAGCAAGCATATCAGCAACAACTGATGCAGCAAAGACAGCAACAACAATTGTTGCAACAACGACAACAACAGCAATTACAGCAGCAGCAACAACAAAAACAGCTGCAACAGCAACAGCTTCTGCAGCAACAGCAACATCAGCCATCAAATTTAGACTCTCCCATGTATGGCAGTAATCAAGTTCGTCGACCCTCTCAAATCCAATACCAACAGCAGCAACAACAGCTGCTGCAACAAGCTGAACAAATGGATAGCATGATGAATCGTTCCAATAAACCACCCATGATGGGTCAAGTAGGCCAACAATCCTCCATCGATCATTTCGATCACTATAAACGACCACCCAGTAGGGATACATCCATTGATCGCTACACCAGAGCAGCCAGTCGTCTGAGTGGTGGCTACGGCTCACGTCAAACTTCAGTCGATCGTGGAGCTAGCAGTGCCGGCACAGCGCAGGCCAATGATAGCGGCCTACCCGAACAGAGGCCTCGAGCTGGCTCAGTATTTAGAGGATCGACACCAGCCCCATCGGCTGGTAATACGCCCACAACCGGCAATGGTTCAGTTCCTACGGGATCGGGTCGTATGTCGCGTGCGGCTACTCCCAGCTTAAGCACAAATTCTCCTTCGGGCACCACAACAACAGACGCCATGTTTTCGAAACCCAATCAACCCTTTGAAGATATACTCCTGCGTCAGCGTACTCTGGGTCAGGATATTGTACCCTCACCCTTGCAGCCAAAACGCACAGAAAGTCTGTATATGCCTGTTAAGCCAGCGTCACCAATGGCTGCTGCCGGCGGTGGTGGAGGCAATAAAAAATTAAAGGTAAGTCTTCTAGGATTGATATTGTCAAGGGTTTTAGTCATAAAATACATATAAAACGCATTATTACGTATGTAGCATTTTCTATGCTCGCCAATCGAATATTTAAGAGCCAAAGAAAATTTTGAACGGGAGAGCTAGAAAAGAGCGAGAACAAGGTAGGCTAAAAATAGCCTAAAATGTCTGTCTAATGAATGATGCTACTACGCCAAAGAAATGAACCCGTTCACAAGTGTTTGTAGCTTTCGAAATTTCGAAAACTACATACTCCCATGAACGCTCTCTCTCTCTTTCTTGTTCACTCAAATAAACCAAAGAGCATGTTAGCTACAAGTTCGAAATTTTAACACTCTTTCGAAATAAAGTGTCACAACAACGACCACTCTCTAAAATTAAGGATTTTGCCCCATTAGCAATTGTCACCCAGAATTCTGACATAGTCGCAAAGACCACAAATTTTCAGTTTATAAACACTCGCGCTTTCTTAAGCACAACGCCAAACGATCGGTTTAAATTCTAAATTTCTTCTCCCCATAACACACACACGCAGCAGCAGTCAATAAAAAAATCTTCATTTTCCTTTGTATTTGGAAATTTTTAAGTGTATAAACGTTTAGCTAAAATATACTATTAAGTGATCTAAAAAAGCGAAAAGAACTATTTGAAATCATCAACTTTAACACGTCGTCGCGTCCGACTGTCCGTCCCATCAACGTCATAATCGTCATCGGCGTTAGCAATGTGTTGAGTTGTACTGTTTATTTTAGTGTGTTTTTTTCGCTTTCCCAAATAAATAACAACAATAAGAAAAATATCGAAAAAAAACATTGTTCGGAACCTATTTTTAAAAATTTGCTTTTTTTAATACTTATACATAGATTTACGTATAGACAACTGAAAGAATTTAAATAATTTGTTTTTAAAACAAAACACTTGAGCGTATTATACATTTATATATAAATAAATACTTGGAAATAATTGTTTGCTCTTTTAAAATTTCAAACAAAGAAAATTATAACGAATATAATTATTAAAATAAAATTAAAATAAAAGCAAAAGAAATTAAACGTTTTCCATGGATTGTATTTAAAAAAAATTAAAGCAGAAATATTTTAATTGTTTAGAAAAGTTCCTTGAGTGAAAGTTATGCAATTATATTATTAAAATAATTATTTTGCAATAAAAACAACACAAAGCACTTATAATTATAAAGTTATAAAAGTCGGCTGCTGTTTTAAATTAAGTAAATAACAAAATGGAGTGGTATCCAGATGAAGATGAAGAAGATTTAATGTTTTCACCTGCTCTGTTGGCACGACGAGCTTCAGAGAGTTGGATAGTGGAGCCACCAGTAGAGGTTGTTTTTATTTTTCTAAAAAAATTTTTATTTTCTTAAAAATTTCTATATCTAAGAAATCCAATCAAAAGTTATTACAAATACAGAACTAGACCTGAACTACGAGGAAACAAAAACTGTTCCAGAACTAAACTAGTTAGAACTGAACTGGAACTGAACTAGAACTGAACTAGAACTGAACTAGAACTGAACTAGAACTGAACTAGAACTGAACTAGAACTGAACTAGAACTGAACTAGAACTGAACTAGAACTGAACTAGAACTGAACTAGAACTGAACTAGAACTGAACTAGAACTGAACTAGAACTGAACTAGAACTGAACTAGAACTGAACTAGAACTGAACTAGAACTGAACTAGAACTGAACTAGAACTGAACTAGAACTGAACTAGAACTGAACTAGAACTGAACTAGAACTGAACTAGAACTGAACTAGAACTGAACTAGAACTGAACTAGAACTGAACTAGAACTGAACTAGAACTGAACTAGAACTGAACTAGAACTGAACTAGAACTGAACTAGAACTGAACTAGAACTGAACTAGAACTGAACTAGAAACTGAACTAGAACTGAACTAGAACTGAACTAGAACTGAACTAGAACTGAACTAGAAACTGAACTAGAACTGAACTAGAACTGAACTAGAACTGAACTAGACTGAACTAGAACTGAACTAGAACTGAACTAGAACTGAACTAGAACTGAACTAGAACTGAACTAGAACTGAACTAGAACTGAACTAGAACTGAACTAGAACTGAACTAGAACTGAACTAGAACTGAACTAGAACTGAACTAGAACTGAACTAGAACTGAACTAGAACTGAACTAGAACTGAACTAGAACTGAACTAGAACTGAACTAGAACTGAACTAGAACTGAACTAGAACTGAACTAGAACTGAACTAGAACTGAACTAGAACTGAACTAGAACTGAACTAGAACTGAACTAAAATTGAACTAGAACTGAACTAGAACTGAACTAGAACTGAACTAGAACTGAACTAGAACTGAACTAGAACTGAACTAGAACTGAACTAGAACTGAACTAGAACTGAACTAGAACTGAACTAGAACTGAACTAGAACTGAACTAGAACTGAACTAGAACTGAACTAGAACTGAACTAGAACTGAACTAGAACTGAACTAGAACTGAACTAGAACTGAACTAGAACTGAACTAGAACTGAACTAGAACTGAACTAGAACTGAACTAGAACTGAACTAGAACTGAAGTTGAACTGAACTAGAACTGAACTAGAACTGAATTAGAACTGAACTAGAATTGAACTAGAACTGAACTAGAACTGAATTAGAACTGAACTAAAATTGAACTAGAACTGAACTAGAACTGAACTAGAACTGAACTAGAACTGAACTAGAACTGAACTAGAACTGAACTAGAACTGAACTAGAACTGAACTAGAACTGAACTAGAACTGAACTAGAACTGAACTAGAACTGAACTAGAACTGAACTAGAACTGAACTAGAACTGAACTAGAACTGAACTAGAACTGAACTAGAACTGAACTAGAACTGAACTAGAACTGAACTAGAACTGAACTAGAACTGAACTAGAACTGAACTAGAACTGAACTAGAACTGAACTAGAACTGAACTAGAACTGAACTAGAACTGAACTAGAACTGAACTAGAACTGAACTAGAACTGAACTAGAACTGAACTAGAACTGAACTAGAACTGAACTAGAACTGAACTAGAACTGAACTGGAACTGAACTAGAACTGAACTAGAACTGAATTATGAAGAAATAGGTTAATATTAATCGGTTATGTCTAAAGTCTTTTAAATTATTCGAATTATGTACTTATAACATAACTTCTATACTATTTTATTATAATCATTTATTTTTGCCCCTTATTTACAGAGCGTTCCTATAAATGTTACGCTACAGCGTAAGAAATCTTTGCCCGATTTCCAAGAACTGCCACGTGCCACAGAGGCTATGAGCCGCGAGGAGGTATCCGCTTTGGGCTCAGCTAGACGTGAAGCGGTACGACGACAAATTGAAATGAATGAAAAGCTCAAAGCGAATCCATTATTATATCTCGTCAGTCCACAAGTTAAAGTAAGTTTATAGAATACAAAATTTCTCCAAATTCCTTGTTAATAAAAAATTCTAATTTTTACAAAAATTTTCGAATTTTTTCAAAAAAATTAAATATTTTTAATAAAAATTCAAATTTTATACTAAAACTATTTATGAAAATTTTAATAAAAATTTTAAATTTTACCTAAAATTTCACTAAAAATCTGAAAGTTTAATATTTCACCATAATATTTCAGATTTTAACCAAAAAAATTCAAATTTTTATAAAAAATTTTAATTTTTAGAAAAAGCCTAAAATTTCAACAAAATTCTTAAATTTCAAAAAAAAAAAAATTATTTCACTAAAAATTCATTTTCACCAAAAATTTTAATTTTCAATAAAAATTCAAAATTTTCACCACAAACCTTAAATTTCATCAAAATTCAAATTTCACCAAAGTTCACCAAACATTCAGATTTTAACCAAAAAAAAATATATTATTTTATAAAAAATCGAATATTTTACTAAAATTATAAATTTTACCAAACATCCAAAATTTCACTAAAAATTTAAAATTTCACCAAAATTCGAAAATTTCACTAAAACCAAAATTTAGAATTTTCAGTAAAAATCTTAAATTTTAATTAAAATCCAAAATTCACTAAAAATCAAAAATTTTCAAAATTTCACTTAAAACCAAAATTGAACATTTTCATCAAAAATCTAAAATTTCACCGAAAACCAAGCACCATAATTGAAAAATTTCATTCAAAATCTTAAATTTCACGAAAAAATCGAAAATTTTAACAAAATCATTTAGATCAAAATTATACCAAAAATCCAAAATTTTAAAATTTCACCAAAAATCTGAAATTTTACTAAAAATCCAAAATTTCACTAAAAATCCAAAATTTCACAAAAATTCTAAATTTCACCAAAACCCAAAAATCTCACCAAATATCTGAACTTTCACTAAAAATCAAACACTTCACCAAAATAATACAAAATTTCACCAAAAAATCAAAAATTCACTAAAACTCCGAAAATTAAAAATTTCACCAAAAATCATAAATCTCGACTAAAATCCATAATTTCCACCAAGAATTCACAAAATTCACCAAAAACCTCAAAATTTCACCGAAAATTAAAAATTACTTTAAATAAATTTTCACCAAAAACTGATTTTGTATAGAAATAGTAAACAATTTTTATAAATTTCAAAACTAATTTCGTGTTTTTCTCATCTTTTAGGATTGGTTCTCACGACAACAGTTGGTGCTCTTGGTGCTTTTTGCAAACATTATATTGGCCATATTATTTTTCAAAATGCTGACATAGCGTAAATTTTTTCACCCACTACAACTGCAACAAAATCAGCAACAACAACTACTACTACATGAGACAGACGCAGCCTATAAACATCATACTACATACATATAAATATTTTATTTTATTTTTATCTATTTATAAATTACATTTTACATTTGTTTTCAATTTAGGTAATATATACTTATTAAATAATTTGTAATAGATTAAACTCCATTTGTACTTGGACTTGCCGTCGGCACGGCAACTTGCAACACCTGCAACAGGAGGGTAACATACAGTGCATGTGTTTACAAGAAGACATTTTTATTTATTTTTTTTTTCGGTAACAGGAGTCCATATAACATCCCATTGTCGATATTACTTAATATTTTGTATATCTACCACATACATTTAACAATTAATTTAAAAAACAAAAACAACTTGTGTCGAATTTAAACAAAATTAAATTTTTTTAAAAAAGAAACCATTTGTTGTAGTCAAAACAAATGTGTTTTTTTTTACATAATATATTTACATCTTTATAATAAAAATTCAACTTTAATTCTTTTTTAGCATTTGCAGTGAAATTGTATAAAATATTTTATTATAATACAAAAACAAAAAATAAAGAAAATGTACTCTACTGCAGAATTGTAAAAAACAAACAAAAAAAAAAATAAATAAAAAAATTTTGTGCAAAATAAAATACAATTTTACAATATATTAGAACAAATATTTAACTTATAATAATATGTACTCTATGTATATTGTATATATAACTACATATTTATTTTATTTAATTTTATTTTATTTATTTAATTATTTTTAATTTCAAAACAAAAAACTCCTATAAACCAAAAAGAACACAAACATTTTATTTTCTTTTATTTTTTGGTCATAGACAATTCTTTTTTTATAAAAATAAACATTTACTAAGTTATTAGTAAATGTTTATTATTATATTAAATAAAATATTGTTTATATTTAGCATTTCAATTTGGGAAATGCTTTAAAAATATAAAAAACTAAATATTTTTTAATTATAAAATAAAATTACTAGACAAACTAAAAACCAAAAGATAATAATACTTAAACAATTATAAAGAAAACAAAAAAAAAAACTAAACGAATTTTATACACTTTTTAAAAGCTCTCAATCAACTATATATAATTAGATCAAAATTTAATTAAATTATAATATAATTATATAAAAAATGAAAACAAAAACAAATAAATTTTACACTTTTACTTTAGATTGTTTATACAAAATTACTCCCTATACCAGTTTATGGATCCAGAGCTGTAGCAGAAAAATTAATTTAAAGATTTTTAGTTTTTATGTTTTTGTTTATAAAATAAACTGGATCCTTTGCTGTAGGCCAATCCTCATATACCACTGACACACACTTACTACATAATTCGTATTTAAACTGTTAAAAAAATGGTTTATTTTTTGTTTGTTTTTGTGAAAATAAATTCTAGCATTCTTTTATATAAAAAAAAAACTATATTTTTTTCAATAAATTTAACTATTTGCCTTAAATCATAAATAAAATTTCAAAAACTTTAAATAAAAGTTTGTATGTTTATTAAGCGGAGTAATACAAAAAGAAACTGTAACTGTCAGGCATGGAAAATTCAGTACTTTATAAATCGGTTTGTTATCGGTTCCCCCTCGACATTTTGGATACTTCTTCTAACTTCTAAACTTTTGATAAATAGTTCACATAGTAGGTCTAGTACATAGTCTAGTCTATAGTCTAGTATAGAGTCTAGTATAGAGTCTAGTATAGAGTCTAGTATAGAGTCTAGTATAGAGTCTAGTATAGAGTCTAGTCTATAGTCTAGTATAGAGTCTAGTCTATAGTCTAGTATAGAGTCTAGTATAGAGTCTAGTATAGAGTCTAGTCTATAGTCTAGTCTATAGTCTAGTCTATGGTCTAGTCTATAGTCTAGTCTATAGTCAAGTCTATAGTCTAGTCTATAGTCAAGTCTATAGTCTAGTCTATAGTCTAGTCTATAGTCTAGTCTATAGTCTAGTCTATAGTCTAGTCTATAGTCTAGTCTATAGTCTAGTCTATAGTCTAGTCTATAGTCTAGTCTATAGTCTAGTCTATAGTCTAGTCTATAGTCTAGTCTATAGTCTAGTCTATAGTCTAGTCTATAGTCTAGTCTATAGTCTAGTCTAGTCTATAGTCTAGTCTAGTCTAGTCTATAGTCTAGTCTATAGTCTAGTCTAGTCTAGTCTAGTCTAGTCTAGTCTAGTCTATAGTCTAGTCTAGTCTATAGTCTAGTCTAGTCTATAGTCTAGTCTATAGTCTAGTCTATAGTCTAGTCTAGTCTATAGTCTAGTCTAGTCTATAGTCTAGTCTATAGTCTAGTCTATAGTCTAGTCTATAGTCTAGTCTATAGTCTAGTCTATAGTCTAGTCTATAGTCTAGTCTATAGTCTAGTCTATAGTCTAGTCTATAGTCTAGTCTAGTCTAGTCTATAGTCTAGTCTAGTCTATAGTCTAGTCTATAGTCTAGTCTATAGTCTAGTCTATAGTCTAGTCTATAGCCTAGTCTATAGTCTAGTCTATAGCCTAGTCTATAGTCTAGTCTATAGCCTAGTCTATAGTCTAGTCTATAGTCTAGTCTATAGTCTAGTCTAGTCTAGTCTAGTCTATAGTCTAGTCTATAGTCTAGTCTATAGTCTAGTCTATAGTCTAGTCTATAGTCTAGTCTATAGTCTAGTCTATAGTCTAGTCTATAGTCTCTATAGTCTAGTCTATAGTCTAGTATAGTCTAGTCTATAGTCTAGTCTATAGTCTAGTCTATAGTCTAGTCTATAGTCTAGTCTATAGTCTAGTCTATAGTCTAGTCTATAGTCTAGTCTATAGTCTAGTCTATAGTCTAGTCTATAGTCTAGTCTATAGTCTAGTCTATAGTCTAGTCTATAGTCTAGTCTATAGTCTAGTCTATAGTCTAGTCTATAGTCTAGTCTATAGTCTAGTCTATAGTCTAGTCTATAGTCTAGTCTATAGTCTAGTCTATAGTCTAGTCTATAGTCTAGTCTATAGTCTAGTCTATAGTCTAGTCTATAGTCTAGTCTATAGTCTAGTCTATAGTCTAGTCTATAGTCTAGTCTATAGTCTAGTCTATAGTCTAGTCTATAGTCTAGTCTATAGTCTAGTCTATAGTCTAGTCTATAGTCTAGTCTATAGTCTAGTCTATAGTCTAGTCTATAGTCTAGTCTATAGTCTAGTCTATAGTCTAGTCTATAGTCTAGTCTATAGTCTAGTCTATAGTCTAGTCTATAGTCTAGTCTATAGTCTAGTCTATAGTCTAGTCTATAGTCTAGTCTATAGTCTAGTCTATAGTCTAGTCTATAGTCTAGTCTATAGTCTAGTCTATAGTCTAGTCTATAGTCTAGTCTATAGTCTAGTCTATAGTCTAGTCTATAGTCTAGTCTATAGTCTAGTCTATAGTCCAGTCTATAGTCTAGTCTATAGTCTAGTCTATAGTCTAGTCTATAGTCTAGTCTATAGTCTAGTCTATAGTCTAGTCTATAGTCTAGTCTATAGTCTAGTCTATAGTCTAGTCTATAGTCTAGTCTATAGTCTAGTCTATAGTCTAGTCTATAGTCTAGTCTATAGTCTAGTCTATAGTCTAGTCTATAGTCTAGTCTATAGTCTAGTCTATAGTCTAGTCTATAGTCTAGTCTATAGTCTAGTCTATAGTCTAGTCTATATTCAAGACTGTAGACTAATTATGTTGTATAGTCTATTGTCTAGACTATAGTCTAGTCTTTAGTCTGCACTGTTGTCTTTATTATGATTCGTTCATTAATTTTCTTTAAATTTAATTCTCCATATTTTTCTGTATTTCTTGCGCTACAACCCACTGTTTATTAATAGCGGTTTAAGAGTCATTGGAAATAATATTTCAATAAACAAATCATAACAGTTTGAAAACAACTGAAATAAAGAAACTATTAAGCAACTTTTGCTGTTTAGTTGCTGTTAAATGAATAATAATAATGCAATTTGTTAATAATGTTTAAAATGTATAATTAACACAATTTATTTTTTTAATTAATCAGAGTATTCCAAATATTTTTTTAAATAAAAATCTTTAATAATTGTTTTTAAATGCAAACTTAAAGTAATTTTTTTCCATTACATTTAACTTTAACGTATAATATTTTGATCACTATGTTGAGGATACTGATAACAGGGATTTATTTCTAATCTTATTTTGCAGTAAGCCAGCAAACAATTATTTGAATGTCTAGCAGATTCCCGCTGACAACCTGTTTCGTAAGGGTTTCGTCTTTTTCTCGTAACATTTGGACACGGCTGATGATAATAAATGGTGGGATTCGTTGCTATTTGCACTATTCCATGATTTTGTAACTCCAATAAATGTTTATTTGCACAAATTTTTAAAGAACAATTTGTGATTTTTAAAATGATTAAAAAACAAATTATTTGTAAAACGAATTTATTATTATACATTTTAACGTTCTAATGATTGAATTTATTGTGTGAGCCAAAATTAGATCTATTCGTTATATACAACCGGGCAAAATCATTAAGTCAGCAATTAAAAATTACCAAAAAATATAAATTTTTTAAATGTTTGATAAAAAATTTGTGAATTGTATACAAAATAGATTTGTTTTTTTTTTTTTGTGCCAATAAATATTTTTGGTTAATTGATTAATTTCCAAATTTTTTGAAAATAATGAATAAAAAATTAGATCAAATAGATTTTTTTATTATTGAACAAATTTTTTCATTCATTCATTAAAAAAGCATAAAATATTTAATTTTTTACTTTATATGGCCTAAAATAAATTTTGAACACTTAAAAATATTGAATTAAATATTAATATGTGCTTTTCGAAATATGTAGAACGATTTATAGTCTTGACTAAATATTGTTTAGTTTATAGTATTGACTAAAATCCAGTCTATAGCAAAGGTCAATTGACATGGCTATAGTTTAGTTTATAGTTTTGGTCACAAAGTAGTCTGTGTTATTGACTGCAGTCCACTCAACAGTCTATAGTCTATTGTCGTGACTATAGTTTATTTTATATTCTTGGCTATAGTTTAGTCCATAGTCTTCACTATAATTTATACTATAGTTAATGGTTTTGACAATTGTCCAGACTATATAGTCTTGACAATAGTTTAGTCTTAGTCTTGCCTATAGTGAAAGTCTATTGTCTAGACAACAGTTTGTCTTAACTTTGGTCTATAGTCTTGATTATAGTTTAGTATATATTACTGACTATAGATTAAACTATAATCTTGACTTCTAGACTATAGTTTAGTCTACAGTATTGACTATACTTAAGTTAACAGTCTTGAGTACAGTTTTTTCTATAGTTTAGTCTGCAGTCTTGGCTATAGTTAAATCTAGTCTAAACTGCAGTTATGTCTTTAGTCTAGTCTATAATCTGAACTATAGTCTGCAGTATAGTTTGAGCTATAATTTAGTCTATAGTATTGACTATAGTTTATCCTATAGTCTGAACTTTAAATTAGTCTATAGTCTGAACCTTAGTCTATTAGTCTATAGCCTTGATCTTGTTTATAGTCGAAAATATAGTCTAGTCTATAGTCTGGACTATAGTCTAGTCTATAGTCTGGACTATAGTCTAGTCTATAGTCTGGACTATAGTCTATTCTATAGTATGGATTAGTCTAGTCTATATTCTGAACTATAGCGTAGTCTATAGTCTAGTCAACAGTCTGGACTATATATCTGAACTATAGACTAAAATATGGTCTTGTTTAGTATGTAGTCTTGACTATACGTTAGATTATAGTCTAAAAGAAAAGAAAATAATAATTGCTTGGAATTTCTGTATAAAAGATTTAAACGGAACTTTTGGATCTTTTTACGCTTTTCGCTGGCCAGCCCTAATGAATACATACACTCACACTATTAAATATTATTCATAAATAATTTACCTCTCATTATTTTGTGTCAAAGTAAATTTTTCTTCTTCATTTTTTGGTAACTACTTCCAGCTACTATTTTTAACTTCCAAAAAAAACTCAATAAACTACTTATGAATTATTAACAACAAAAACATATGTTTTTACAATAAACAATTGAATTTATTTTAAAAATTAAATTATTACTTTTTGTTATTGTTCTTACAAAATTTCATTAATTATGGCGCGTGTACATTGTATTTTTCATGTGGTCAAAAAAAAAATCAAACAATTTAATATTGATAGAATTGATTGAATGTCTGGGGTACAAAACCATTATAACCTTGTGGTACACCATAGTTATTGCCTAGAGGAGCGATGTAGGTGGGTACTGGAGCTGAATAACCACCGGCAGAACCATAAGCGGGAGCTGGAGCGGCACAGGGTACTGGAGCTAGATTAGGTTGACAACTGAACAAGTAATTCTTGGGGCAGGGAGGAGCTGGTATACTAGCTGCACCATAACCACCACCAGAACCACCATAACCGGCCGACTTTCTAAAACGATTGTACTCGTTGCTTAACTGCGAAGTGAGTTGAGGTTTTAAATCACTTTCAACATCCTGTTTAGTATCGCTGCTGCTGCTTAGGGAACTGCTGCCGGAGGAAGACGAACCCACTGTTGTAGCGGTGGCCATTGAAATAGCCACAATAATGTAGATGAAGCAAACAAATGATTTCATTTTGTTGTGTTGTGGCAGTTATTACAAGAATGTTTGAAATATTCAACTGTATTCAATTCGAACAAAATTCTTAGTATTTATAGCATATTTACTAAATTTAAAAGCGCAAGTATATTTGCATTTACAATTCTTGCAGAATTGACAAAAACTTGTCTTTAATATATTAAAAGAAAAACTGCTGAGTTATTTTAAACTAGAAAAACATTGATTGCAACAGAACGTAACATAAAATGGGTCAACATTAATTGTAAAAAATAACTTTTTTTAAATTTCATGGAATACAAAAAAGTACTTTGTAGTAAGAATTAATAGTGCAATATGATTTGTATGAAAGCTAAAATCAATTTAAAACTAAGAGACACTTAATAGGGTCACTTAGAAAATAAATGTAACAAACAGAATAAACTGAACAGAAGAAGTGGTCTTTGAAGGCAATATTCTTATTTTGCCCAAAATTGAAAGATTAGGCTATAGTTAGCTTATAGTCTAGTCTATAGTCTAGTCTATAGTCTAGTCTATAGTCTAGTCTATAGTCTAGTCTATAGTCTAGTCTATAGTCTAGTCTATAGTCTAGTCTATAGTCTAGTCTATAGTCTAGTCTATAGTCTAGTCTATAGTCTAGTCTATAGTCTAGTCTATAGTCTAGTCTATAGTCTAGTCTATAGTCTAGTCTATAGTCTAGTCTATAGTCTAGTCTATAGTCTAGTCTATAGTCTAGTCTATAGTCTAGTCTATAGTCTAGTCTATAGTCTAGTCTATAGTCTAGTCTATAGTCTAGTCTATAGTCTAGTCTATAGTCTAGTCTATAATCTAGTCTAGCCTAGTCTATCGTCTAGTCTATAGTCTGGTCTATTGTCTAGTCTATAGTCTAGTCTATAGTCTAGTCTATAGTCTAGTCTATAGCCTAGTCTATCGTCTAGTCTATAGTCTAGTCTATTGTCTAGTCTATAGTCTAGTCTATAGTCTAGTCTATAGCCTAGTTTATCGTCTAGTCTATAGTCTAGTCTATAGTCTAGTCTATAGTCTAGTCTATAGTCTAGTCTATAGTCTAGTCTATAGTCTAGTCTATAGTCTAGTCTATAGTCTAGTCTATAGTCTAGTCTATAGTCTAGTCTATAGTCTAGTCTATAGTCTAGTCTATAGTCTAGTCTAGTCTATAGTCTAGTCTAGTCTATAGTCTAGTCTATAGTCTAGTCTATAGTCAAGTCTATAGTCTAGTCTATAGTCTAGTCTATAGTCTAGTCTATAGTCTAGTCTATAGCCTAGTGTATCTTCTAGTCTATAGTCTAGTCTATTGTCTAGTCTATAGTCTAGTCTATAGTCTAGTCTATAGTCTAATCTATAGTCTAGTCTATAGTCTAGTCTATAGTCTAATCTATATTATAGTCTATAGCCTAGTCTATAGTCTAGTCTAGTTTAGTCTAGTCTAGTCTAGTCTATAGTCCAGTCTATAGTCTAGTCTATAGTCTAGTCTATAGTCTAGTCTATAGTCTAGTCTATAGTCTAGTCTATAGTCTAGTCTATAGTCTAGTCTATAGTCTAGTCTATAGTCTAGTCTATAGTATAGTCTATAGTCTAGTCTATAGTCTAGTCTATAGTCTAGTCTATAGTCTAGTCTATAGTCTAGTCTATAGTCTAGTCTATAGTCTAGTCTATTGTCTAGTCTATAGTAGAATGTATTCTAGAAGTATGTACATGTATTTTTCTTTATACAAACATGTTTTAAGCTGCCTAATGATATGCTATTAATTTAAAAATATTAATAATAAAGTATGTATCAGCAATTTTAAACATTTACTTTAGAACAAAAATGTTCATTATTTTTGATAACAATTACCGTTAAAAAAAGGAATAATAATTTATTATTGACTTACGCCCATTTTTAATAACATAATTTTCAATTCGTAATTTTACAATTTATTCTATATTTAATTTTACTTTCTGTTCTATTGTTATGTTTTTTATGATCCTCGGCGTCAGTTGGTTGACTTCACAGAACCATAACTCTATAAATATACATAGGCTAGAACATTCATAATAATTAAGTAGAGACCGAACGTCAAACAAACAGACAAACCGACTTCATTATTGTACACAATAGAGTGTTTTTTTCTTAAAACAATACGTGACACTTTTATCAATTAACCATTGAGTAGCTAAAATATTAATGCAAATGTACTTATTTACTAAATACAAAAAGAAAACAACATAGAATTTGTTGGACTGACGCATATCGAAGATTTATCCATAGCCATAACTTTATTTCTTTTGTGTATTTAACCTAAACGGAAATTATGAATAAAATAAAAAAAAAATACCACACTTCCTTAGTATGTATATCGAAAAAAATAAGCAATCAACAAAATATAAATGAAAAAGTAATCAGTAATATTTAAAGAAAAAATCTCAAATTGGTCATTGTTCTTTTTTTTTTTTTTTTTGGGTGAAACGGCAAATGAAATCAACAGCAAATGATGTAGTTGTAAATATTTTAAAAGGAATAAATTGTTATTGTTAGAAATGTTATCATATCAGCAACGTTTATCAAGCCCTTTTACTATGTATTGTTTTGAAATGCGAGTCTTTTGGGAATCGTTTCTAAATTTATAAACGGATTGATTTATGCAACAATGTTTCAAGTTTTCAATTCTACATACAAGGCCAAATATTTTCCGAAATTCGTTTACAATTACTATTATAAAGAAACTCCCATTAAAGAACAAACAGGATTAGAATACAACTCCCATTGTTAATATTTATAGTAATGCATACTTGTCGGTTTAAAATCACTATATCCTTGAGGAACATGTTAGTTATTTCCTAGAAGTGCAATGTAGGTTGGTGCGGATGACAAATATGTGCCGACAGAGATATGTATGAGGAAGTTGCTGCAGTACAGATGCAGGTGCTTAACTAAGTTTATAATTCAACAAATAATTCATACGGCAGGGGGGAGTGAAATTATTAGCAGCTTTAAGTTTTGCCTATGGGTTATTTTTGTATCAATTAAAGCCTTACAGTCTTTGTGAGCTGCTTCAGCAATAAGGCTGTTAGTGAACTCATCAAATTTTACAGGAAATCTTTCCCGAAATCTAAATCTTCAATAAGTTTTCTTGTTTTTCTAATTAAATCTGATTAAAACCTGAAACAATGTCTGAGTACGGAAAGATAGCTAATATGGCAATTGTTAGGTTCAACTCTGTGGCACTAAGAGGTTCTTGTAAGAAATGATGTGTCACAAGGGAAGAATAAACTTTATAAATAATTACCTGTTGTTGTTGTAATAACTTAAAGTATAAATTTCGTTAATCCGGTGGTTCAGCCGTCACTTATAGGAACGGCATCTTCATAGATTGAAGTGATTGTCATGCTTAATTGATGATGCATACAAAGATGTCACTGGTTGTACCTTAACACTTTTGCTTCATGACAAATGGTGACACGAAGCCTCACAGAACAGTTTCTTATAACTTTTTTGCTTTTTACACGTTCCCATATTTTCCTTTCAATTGAATACAAAAATACTATTGAGAACAGCAATCACTTTCCTTTTAAACTAATTTTTATAAAATTTTCATGCACAAATTCACATTTAATTTTCCCACTTTTTTATTGGCTTTGATTTTTTTACAATTACTAATCTGTCAAATTAAATTTATCGATAAGTTTGTGACAAATGTACGAAAATTGTCATCACTAATAGAGCTTTGTTTGATACTTTTTCTATGTGGTTCCCAGCACTGCTCGTTAAACGAAATAGTAACGGAATGGCCAACCAAATTCCTCTAATAATCCATCAATAATTTCATTAACCATTTATAAATACAAGGGTAATAATACCGGCAAAACAAATAGAAATAATGAAAAAACGTGGAATGGAAATACAGAATAACTTACAAGTGCCACTACCAAAGTCTTAATCCAAACTTTTTACCAACTGTATGGTGGAGGCAACAACTTCATTGCGCCGAAATTTGTAACGTTTCCCAATCCTGCAAAAAGAAAACAATTGCAAACAAAATTTATTGAAACCGAAATGGTAAATTAAACCATGGTGCGTGCGAAATGGGTCTTAGTTCAAATTGATCACAAATACTACAAAAACTATAATAAATTTGATGTCTCATTAGAACTTTTATTCAAAGATTCCGTGAAATAAATATTAACAATTATTGGCAGAATTTTTTCATGAGAAAAATATTAATAAAGAGAAGAAAGGAAAACCGTTTGAAGTGGGATGATTCATAATGATTACATAAAGGATAAATCTTTACAACTAAGTATTTCTTTCACATTAAAATACGTAGTTAAACTCTGATAAACATACATGCATTCATTTAAAATATACTTCCAAAACTGCTTACTCTGATATAGTAACAACTGAACTACTAAAGACCTAATTTTTTGTTTTGTTTTTTTTTTTTTTTTGCTTGCTGTTATTTTTTTCAATGTTATACCAATGAAATATGAAGATCGTTGACCTCAAACTAAAAAAAAAAGCTAAAGTTTTTAGTTGGCACTTTTGGTTGGTTGTCAAATATAAATTGCATTTTTTGTATAAATTTTAATTTAAACAAACAAAAACTGTTATGAAAGCATGTTGTAGTGTAGAACACAACACATGTACGGTAATTTGTATGCAGAAATAGTAATAATTATGTTAAATAAAATATAAACAAATTACAAAACATTTTTTTTTGGTTATAAATCAAAAACAAATGTTTAAGCCGGGTTTAAGCTTTTAAATTTAATGCTTCATTTCCGTAGCTGTCAAATTTTAGTGACATTTTGTTGGAAGTGAGGAAAATAATTAAGAATTTTAAGTACGGAAATGCATTTTTGTAAATTATAGGAAATTCTTGAAATTACGGAAGTAGAGGATGGATTTATTAGCTTTATTTCACTACTCGTATACGAGTTAGATAATAAACTCCTTTAGAACTTATGAATTCTAAGGTTACAAAGTCTTCCGATTTAAAGGAACAAAACTTTTGAAAAGTAAGGAAACTGCAAAATAAACGCTCTTGGAGTTATTTCAAACTTTAGGTTAAGATATTTCAAAAAAGAAGCAAGATAGGTATAACAATTGTTTTTTGAAGACAAAGACTGTGATCAGTTAAAATCACCTTTATTCTATTTCGATTAAGTTTCTGCACAATTTAGATCAAGTTATCTTAAGGTAGAAACAAGATATAAGAAAGGTTACACTTTTATTTTGAAGCAAAGGGAAAGGACTCTCAGGCGGCCCAATAAATTTAACTTTGCGCTGTTAAAACGTCTCAAATATGTCGAAAAGCCGGGTACTTTCAACCTCAAGCAAAGATAGTTTAAAAATCTTATGTAAGTATCAATTTTGAGATTAAACTCAACTTTTTTCAAACTGTTAAATCCCAATTCTTTTAATTTCAATAATAACTAATTCTTCTTTCGATCAAATTCAAATTTTAAATTAACATATCAACATTTTAATAGAAAATTAAAAATGTTTCAGTTGCTATGTCTACATTTTGTAAAAGTAAACAATATGCATTTTAAAAGAATGACTAATTTTTCATAAATTCTTTTTCTTTTTTAACGGAAATCAGTATTATATTTTATCTTTTAAACAAAATGTATTAAAATATCAAAATATTTTCTTGTTATTAACGAAAAAATTTTTTGTTTTTTTTTTTTAAACAAATTAGCTCATTGACAAAAAATACACAAATGTTTTGATATTTATTTTTAGAAATTTCACTATTTACGCTTGTTTAATATATTTTATTAATAATTGACATAGTTTTTATGTTTTTAGCCAAATTTTGTGTTTTTCTTTTAATGAATTTTTATGCCAAAATATAAAGAAAATATTTGGAAAAGAAAATTTACCCCCCACAACTTATACAAACCATATACATTTTAGCTGTTGATGTATTAAAAACAACATCACTCCACACACACTCACAGACATTTAGTTTTTGTGACATTTAAATGACATTTATAAATTCTTTTTTAAGCACTACAACAAAATCTTGTAAAGAAACTATGTAATAAATAAATGCATTGTGGATATTAAAAGAAAAACCAACTTCAAAGAAACTAAAACTTTAAAATGCTAACAACAGAAAATATAAAAAATACAAAACTACTATTGTAGTTTTTTGAATCCCCTCCCCCACCTTTTAACATGTTTATTAATGACTCCTTAACTCTAACAAACCCTTTTTAATTAAGCAATGAACTTACACAGTTCAACAGAATTTGAAAAGGACCCAGAAGACACCAAAGTATACATTTCTAATTGTTTAAAAATTCCTCAAGAAATAAAGAAGATATAACAGATGATAAACCTTTGTTTTAAAGCCGACCGAGTGGACGTTCACACGACCTAACAAATTTTATAGATAAAGGAGTCAATCGCTCATTATGTCTTCAAGTATGATCAAAAAAAAGGTTTTTTCAAGATAAATTCTGAGGCCAGCGCTGCCCAATCCTTTACAAAACTGTATTTTGGTTTCTAGGTTAAAAATTTGTTAAACTGTGTTATCGGCATTTATAAAAATTAACAAAGAAAACTATTAAAAACCGCAACATTCCACTCAATTATTAAAAATTTTGTTTTAAAATAGATTTTTCTTGCTTTTTAATGACATTATTTATACATACTGTAAATTTTTATTCAAATATTTTATAAAAATGAATACATTTTTAATAATAGTTTTGTTTTTTTTTATTATTATGTATGTATGTTGATTGATTAGTTTTGGACTGCACATTTTTTTTATATCCAAGTATTAAAAAAATATTTGTTTTGTTTGTTTTTTTTTTAATATTTATACTTTTTATACGACAACGACACATCTGTTGGAGGAGTAAGTAAGTATGAGAGGAGCTAGTTGAAAAAAATGTATGATGGATTGCTGGGTTTGTTGTTTTGGTCATTTTCTGTGTATATGCATTTTAAATATATAGTTTTTTTGTATTTTTTGTAAAAAAAAAGCGTAAAACAAATATTTTGTTGTTGTAAAATTAAATTTTTTGTTTAAGAGAATATCTTTGAAATTTCTGTTTTTATATTTATTTTTTATTTGTTTTGTATGAAAATTATTCCAAAGTTTTGTTTTTTGTTTAGCAAAAAATTATTTTTATGATATTTTTTTTTTGTTTTTTTTTTATGTTTTTTTTTCGTTTATTAATATTATTATATAATTACTTTTATGTATTATGTATAGTGTGTGTGTTTATATTTTCTAGTACCCGCAAGTGATAAGATAATCTCCAAGTTTCTCTACGACGGATGCGGCCTGTTGTGGCTGAACGGGATCTTCGTAAATGGAAACAATCACGGCTGCAAAAAAAATAAATAAAAATAGAAAAACAATATATTAGTTATTTCATTAAATGTAGACTTTTAACAATGTCAAAATCATAACCATATAAGGAATATTTTATTTCCAAATAGACTAGACACTTGTCTGTTTATTAAACTAACAAAATTATTTCTATTAACAAGGCTATAAACAAGGCATTAAACTTATATTTTTGAAGGGGATTTCATTTTGTTTTTATTTGCTAGTTTATGGGAATTTAAACTAATTAAAAATTTAGACAATATTACAGTAAATGTTCTACTTTTAAAGGACTTTTAACGTATCGCAGATACTCTACACCAAGCTATTGATGAACTATGTAACACTTTTCAAAGCTTTAGTGTATTTATTCGGATCTGATGTAAAATACTACAACCATCTTTCAATAAAATTTCAATTAAACTTACCTTGTGTGGTTTTCATGCAATGTACACCGCTGCGTCCGAATTTGGCGCGGACAACGCGGTCTGTACCGGACAAATAGATATATCTTTGGCCGGCCAATGTAACGCCATTGCTGGTAAGAAGATCTTGATTATCAAATCCAGAGATCAATTTTGACAATTCTTCTTTTGTAACCTAAAATTTAAAAAGAGAAAAATTAATATAAAATAAAGAAAACAAAAAAAAAATAACAATGCAAAATAAAAATTGATATAACAACATTTGCTGGGATATATTCTTATAAATATGTAGTTCATACCAGGTATGGCAAATTGATATCAATTTGAATCCCTCTTCGTTAGTCCGTATAAACCCAGTCAATGCATTAGATTATTAATTAGTAAACATACTATTCAAAAGGCAAGTCCATAAATTAGTTGACTAGTTAATAGACTAGTCAATAGCCCAAATGACTAGTTAATAGACTAGTCAATAGTCCAACGACTAGTTAATAGACTAGTCAATACACTTGTTTAAAAGCTGCTCAATAAACTAATTAATGGATTCGTCAATAAAATAGACCTTAACCTAGTAAATTAACTAGTCCATAGATTAGACTAGAAAATAGACTAGTCCATAGACAGCTCAATATATCCTAGTCCACAGACTATCCCCTAGATTGTCAATAAACTAGTCCATAGGCTAGTCAATAAGCTATTCCACAGAATAGTCCATAGGCTTTGGTCCATAGAGTGGTCATTTGATAAGTCTTTAGGCTATTAAACAGACTAGTCCATAGAAAAGATTATAGGCTAATCAATAGACTAGTCCAAAATCTAATCAATAGACCATAAGGTACTAGTCAATAGATTCGTCCATAGAATAGTCACCTAGTAATTAACTAGTCCATAGATTAGACTAGTAAATAGACTAGTCCATAGACAGCTCAATATATCCTAGTCCACAGGCTATCCCCTATATTGCCAATAAACTAGTCCATAGGCTAGTCAATAAGCTATTCCACAGAATAGTCCATAGGATATAGTCTATAGAATAGTCCATAGGCTTTGGTCCCTAGACTGGTCATTTGATAAGTCTTTAGGCTATTAAACAGGCTAGTCCATAGAAAAGATTATAAGCTAATCAATAGACTTGTTAATAGACCATATAGGTACTAGTCAATAGATTCTTCCATAGAATAGTCAATAGTTCTTTGTTAACATTGTAAACAAGAAATGTATACTTCCACTTTTGACCAACGAGGAAATAAAGATAATACCTATTGTACAAAATAGGTCATTAGTGTACTGTTGCTCTTTTAAAGACGTAATTGCACCAGAAAAAGTGCAATTATGCAAGTTTTACCAACCCTGGTTCAAACATATTTGTGCCAAAAGCTGATTTCATTCAACAATCTGTTTTATATTTAGAATAACACATTCATTCTATGTCATGGTCTTAATAATGATCTTGTACAACAATTATATTTCGTAAAGGTACATTGACTTGTACTTTTTTTTTTTTTTGCTAGCAATTTTGCCTGTTCTACTCTCTACACCACCTCTTTTCAACGTAATGAACGTTTAATAAACAAAAACAACAACAAAAATCAACCTCAAACTAACCACCTTTATTCTACCATCACCACACACCACCTTCCTAACTATCTATTAGTCTTAAACAAAACTAGGTAACACACCATTTACACACAACCCATGTAAAACATATTACAAATTGTATCTACAATTTTACCGCCCTTAAAAGGCTGACTGACAGACAACGAACGGTGAACAAAGCAATCAAATAAATTTCAATGTCACTCAGAGACAGAGAATGGCTAAAATAACCAAAAACAGTTAAAAAAACACAAATACTGGACAAAAAAAACAATAGAAAAAACACTCAACTCTCATCACTCACTCTTTGCAAATATTCTCGCTCTCATCCCTAAGGTCTCTCACTCTCATCTCTTTTTACAACCACACAATGGCAGCCATTTTGATATATATAAACAGCCGGTTTTTTGCAAAGATAAAACAAAAACATACATATACAAATGCAAATAAGAATAAGAATACAAAACGAAAAAAAAGTAATGAAATGGAAGTGAATTTCAATGGGGGGATTGATTGAGTGTAAAAACAACTCAATTCAAATTTTGCCATATTTATACATACATTTTAACTCGTATAGATTTGCAACAAAAAAATTTAAGCATATGTATACAAAAAGAGAGTAAGAGAAACGAAAAAAAGTGTGCTGCGGAAATATGGATAAAAAGAAACTTAATAATAAAGCAAAAATAATAGGTATATAAATAAGTGTGTAGAAAAGGAAACTAAAGATAGATAACCAAGATAGAAATGAAAAGAAGAATACAAAGAAATGAAAATGTACCGAGTACACAATAACGCCGGGTGTGTGTGATATGCATGTGAGTACTGAGTACATATGCAAAAATACTTTTTTTCTTTATAATACTGCTGCTACTTTTTGTTCTGTATGTATTTGTTGTACCGCAAAATTATTATTAAAAATATTATTTTATTCCACAATTAGTGTGAAAAATTTTATTTATAAAATACATTTTTATAAGATTCACATTTATTTTTGCCAGAAAGTGGTAGAATATCTACCCCGCCCTTACTAAACGATTTCTTCTCTATTGAAACTAAACAGCAGTGATGCCAATATAAGGTGTTTTTTGCACTATTTTTAGGAGCTTTTAACATCTTTTATTTATATGTTCAGGCAAAATTTTTGTTTCTGCAACTCGTAGTATCGAAAAGTATCGAATAAGCTGAAACTTTAGATTAAATATTAGGTTCAAAGTTATATTTGAATTTTCGAACATATGTTCGCAAAAATTTTGAAACGGTTTTTATATCTCTAAATCATCAGGATTCTTAAAAATTAAATTTTTGTTTGATTGAGGCTATTTTTTAAAAATTTCATAAATTTTTAAATTATTTTCAATGTACTTTCAGAATATAAGCTTTATATGGAATGTCCGAAAATTTGAAGCTATTTTAAAGCAGTTAAATGATCTCTAAATCATCAGGATTCTTAAAATCATTATTTTTCTTTCAGTTGAGGCCATTTTCTTAAAATTTTTACTTCGAACTTAAAAATTTCTCATTTCAAAATTACAAAATTTTAAAATAATTTAAAATTTGTAGAGAATTTTTAAAATATTTACAATGTAGTTTTAGAATTCAATTAACATAAGCTTTTCATGGCATGTTCGAAAATTCGAACTTATATGTATTCGAAAATTGTTTAAAGTTTTCAAATAATCTCTAAATCATCAGGATTCATAAAAACAAAATTTTAGTTTCATTTGAGGTCAATTTTCCTAATTTTGAGAATAAATGTAGGTTTTAAAATCACATCTTTTTAAGACAAAATATTCTCTTAATTATAAGAATTTATAAAAATCTAATTCATACATTTCGAAATTAACAATTTTGATCACAATCTATAAGTTTTCACAAATATTTACTAAAAAACCAAGTGTTTTTAATGCAAAATTTCAAAAATTGTTTTCTTAATGAGTTTCTATCAACTAAAGTTAACTGAAGTAATTCACGGAATTATTTGCTTATCTAAAAATACAATCAATTATAACCTTGAAATTAAGTTTCTTAAATAAAGTCTAAAATAAACAACTTTATTAAAGTTTATTTTACTATTTGAATTTGGCCAATATTGACAACACTTTTAACAAACTACCGCATTTTTATATTATACAAAAATATCTTTTCCTAAAACTTATCTTTCAGATACGCAGGTCAAAAGTTACCATGTGTGTTTATATTTGATTGGTGTACTTTTAGACAAAAGAAGTGAAAAGAATTTAGAGCTTAAGTGGCTTACAATAGGTAAAATTAATTAATTATTTATAGGTAGTATGTGTGGGGAGGAGGGGGCTTTTTGTTTTTTTTTTTTTTCTATACAATAAAAAAGATAACGAAGATTTAAAATTCGTGTTAATTTTTGGCATACGTAGACAGGGACAGCCAGTCAGTCAGCGTCAGCTGATTGTTTGTTAAAAGAAAAAGTTATACTTTTAGACATAGTAAATGAGGTGAAAATATCTAGCTATTTCTTTTGTCCAAATTAAACTGAAAAAAAGAAAAGAATAACGTAGAGTTGCAGCCATCAAGAGAGGAGGAAAGATATGAGTCAAGTAGTAGTGTATTTTTTTTGCAAATTTTTCGGATGAAAAAAAAAAATATACAACTGGCTGCTAGCTTTTCGTGATAAATTCTTCTTGCACAAATTATTCTAAAAATAATATCAATGTGTTCATGTGTTGATGATTATTATTTTAGTTTTTTTTCATATCATTTTCCAAATTGTGTACAAAATTAAAAAGAAAAATCGTTGCGCTAAAACATATACATACTAAAAAAAACTTAATAAAACAAAAATTGTATATAATTTTACAGCAACAATGTGCACCAGGGACAGCCAGCCAGTCAGCCAGAGTATAGTATGACTCACAGCGACAAAGCGATAACATTTCACACTATAGAGGTTTTTAAAAAACAAACCACCAAAAATAAAGAAAATAAATTTAAACATTTCCCTTTGTTTAACCCCCACGACAAACCCATATTGCAACAGAATTAAAGGAAATCCTTCTTAATATTATGCACCCACCAAAACCAAACGATCCCCTGGAAAGTACACACACACAAACAATGTTAATGTATATGAAAAAACTAAAGAATTTCTAGAAATTTCCGATATGATTTGAAACATATGTTTAAAATATGTTATGAAAAAAAGGCGCATAACATAAATTTATCATCACACTTAACAATGCCACATAAGAAAGTGATAAAAATGGTCTCCCGGATTATTAAACATACATTTATAAAATGTTTATTTTAAACAAAAGAAATTTATATGTAAAATATTAAGATTAGGGAGACCCCAGCACTTACTGGATGAGTGATGATAATAACGTTACAAAAATGACATTTTTAAGTGTAATATTATTGTAAAAAGGCGCACACACACAGAGTAGAAAAGATAAAGCAGCTCAAAGTTGGGCTAGAGAGACACTCAGCAACAGTAACTTTGAATAATTATTACAAAGGAATACTAAATTTAGAGATTTTGTTTGTATTTAATACTCCAGCTGTAAAAATATCTACACTTTCACACCATATTTTATTTTTTCTTAAAATGTATTTTTATCAAATTACGTTTTGAATAGCAAGTTCGCTGGACTTTCAAGAAAACGACAAAAATAAAACAGAACGCAAAGTAGATAAGATATTTTTTTTTTATTATGCATTTTTACTTGCTATTCAGCGGTTATTGTTCTTTTTTGGCAAATTGTGAAAGATTTTATTTTATTACTTAATTGATTAATTTTGTAAAGAAAGGAATAATATGTGTATGTTTAATGCAATTGGTTATAATTTAAAATTGTTGTTATATGGTAAATGTAAATTGTATTAATAAGTACATACTTATTAAACAAAATTAAATTATTTGTTCTATTAAAGTATAATTAATCAAATATGTATTTATAACAAAAACACAACTGTGTGTTTGAGGCTTTTTTATTGCGGTTGAAATAAAAATACATAATAGTAATATATTTCGTTAACTTGTCAAACTCTAACTAATTTAATATGAATTAATGATGATATATTGAGGACGTATAAATAATTTCTTTTCAATAAAAAGATTATAAATTATTATTAAAATAGAAATTCTGTTTGTTCTTTGTACTAACCCTGCAGGAAATGGAACTAGTACCAAACTAGTATTTAACTAGTACCAAAATCACCAGTACTAGTTCCCAACTGTAAACTTTCCTATACCATCATAATGCTCAAATTAACATTGAGTGTGTTTGAAAAATTACTAGTACCATTAGTTCTAGACTTATACTAGTACACTTCGACCCAATTGGGTTCTTTAGAACCAGTTTGATACTAGTTCTAATATTCATAAAAAGTCGCCATAATTGGTGGTTTTGCTCTTTTGAAAGCCTCCTGCACAATTCCAAGTGAAAATTACTACACAACTTGTTTTTTATAAGGTTTTATTTCTAAAGATACAATAAAAAATGTTGTAAATACATTTACCTAACAATTCAATATGAAAGTTTGAAGAAATTCTGGTTCTATCCGTATCACCATCATTGATTTCATTATGTCCAAAAATTCCCTTCAGGTATATATCTCCATTTCGTTATAAAAACATTTGCCGTACGATAAAACAAATATTAAACTTATTGCAGTTTTTAAATTTAATAGACGTACTTACATAGGGATTTGCCTGCAACCGGATCTAAATTTGCATGCACTATTTATCCTCACATTTGAAGGGATATGTATGAAAATATCGTTTTTTATGCAAAATGTTTCAAAATTATATTTTAATAATTTAAAAAAATTATTTTTTCCAACACATGTCAAACAAAAATCAATCTACAAGTGGCGCCATTCAACTACTTCTAGTACTAGTATTTTTCCATATAAACTCTAACCCAATTTGTACTAGTGTCTGTTGTTCTAGTATTAGTACTAGTGGCATTAAGACAATTATCGCTTCATTTCCTGCAGGGAATCTATTCATTTCAAATCAGATAGAATGAATTACAAATTTAAACCATTTTTTATTATTTACTTCAAATTGAATCAGTTATAATTTGGAAAGATTTATTTCAGACCAATTTAATACTTTTTTTGAAATTTTGATCTTTAAAATTTTAATAATAATAAGAAGAAATCTTTCAGAGTACAAGCCATTTACAAAATTTTCGAAAATTTCGAAAAAAAAAAATATAATTTTAGTTTTATTTCAAATGAATTTCTTAAATTTTTTCCTTTCGAACATCAAAATTTTGGAAATGTGGTTTCGGAATGCATGCTTTTTTCACTACTTTCGAAAATTCGAACTGTTAAAATAATCTCTCGATTGTGAGAAATCATAAATATCTAGTTTCTCTATTTTTTATGCATTTTGAAAATTTTAAGGAATTTTCAATGTAGTTTCAGAATACCTATAATTTTTTAACGACATATTCAATAATTCGAACTTAAGTTCGAAAACTGCCGATCTTCAGAATTTATAAAAACTTAGTTTTATTTAATTAATTTTAAGGCCACATCTTACATGTTTAAATTTTGGAGTTTCCATATGTTATTATAATTTTAAAATGTTTATGTATTTCGAAATATTTTAAGTAGAATTGAAATTTGGGAACTTATAAGACAATTTGGCATTTTGTCACGAATATTTGACATACTATAACCCCTACAAATCTAACCAGTTGGAATAACAAATCCAACATCAAACATTTTAAACTTGTCAACTGAAAGTTTAATAGATTACCCAGCAAAAAAAACTTCCATTTAAGAAACACACACATGCATTGTTAAGGTCATTGATACAGTTTTTTTTTTTCGTTTCTCCAAAAATTTGCATAATCAAGTAATAAAATTTCCAAGAACAATATAACGTATTTTCTAAGACAATTTCTAACATTTAGATTTCAAAATCTTTCACTATATGCTAAAAGAAAAAACAGCATAAATGCTGAAATAAAAGATAAACAACAAAAGAAAAGAAACCGGTGAGAAACACAACCATAGAATGACCGACGACCGGTCTTTTTTGTTGTTGCTACTTATTATGTGCGTTGTATAAAATGTGTTATTGGCTCCATATTGAGCATTTGTCGCCGCCACTTGCAAAAAAAAAGGCAGAAATAAAAAGTGGGATATGGACAGCAGAAAATGAAATATAAAATAAAAAGTAAAACACACCAGAAAAATGGGAAAAAAGTAACGACATCCAGAAGGTTATTATTGGTGGTGGTTTTGTGTGAAGTTTGCACGATATCAACTACTAGTGACTGGTGGTGGTGATGGTCGTGGTTGATGGTGGTGGTAGTATGAAGGGCGTTTGCTTTTCTTTCGGCTTTTTTTCACATGTCACACTACTTACTACTGATACTGATTGTATACATGTACACAAAAGTCAATTTATAATGCTTTTTAGGGGATTAAGTAAAGAATTGTGTTAATATGTTGTTTAGTTTAATAAAAAATATAAATTGAAGATACGTTTTTTTTTCAAACTTTGATAATGAATGTCTTTTGGCTCTACCCCGCAAAAAGCAAACATGAATCATTTTCTTATAGTACCTACAATGTTTCTTTTTTTTTTTTTTTTTTTGAATGGTCACACCCATGAACTTGCCCCAAAAAGGAAAAATACATTAAAAAGGATAATTTTTAACCCCCTTTCCTACAAACTCTTAAACATTTAAAATTTTAGTTATTTAGACACTTACCTCAAAGCCCTTGGAAGAGGCCCAAACGTTGCCATCATGACCAGCGATACAGGCTTTGGTAACGCATTGCGAGGCCATCAATTGGTTATCAACATAATCTTGCCAGCTCATTTTGTATTTGTTGGTTATAAAAACTTACGACGAGTAGAGAAGATACAGAAATAAAATTTAAAACGTTTTTTGAGTTTTTGTTCCTGTTGTCAATGTGGTGGTGTCCAACAAAATGTCTGCAAATTTTTCGTTTAAGGAGTGCTGCAAAAAAAGGAGGAATATTATTAAAATTGCAAATTTTAACAAAAAATCATTAACTTATAGTTAAAATAACAAATTTAGCTTTCAAAGAATTTATAGTTTAACAACTTTTATAATTATTTTTGTAAAATTTCGTTTTTAACAGATTTAATACTACTCCAGCTCACTAATAAATTATTTCCTATTTATAATTTTTTTAAAAATTTCTAGCAAAAATTATATTTTCCTTACACTTTCTTCTTTTCTTACAATGCCAACGCAGCCGCGGTCTAACAAGTTTAGCCAACAAAGAATGCAAAAAATTTGTAAAAAGTACCGAAAAATATTATTTTTCTTCTTGCCGTTGCTGCCGCGCACACCAATCTCACTCAAGCACACTAAAACGAATGGTGATAAATAAGCGACGTTATGTTCAACATTGAGTTTTTTCTTTTTTGCATTTTTACATTTTTACACTCCCTTTTTGTTTTTTTCTTTCTTTCTTCTTCTTCTTCTTCTATATGTATTTTTGTTATATTTTCTCTACTTTCCTTCTCCTACTCATTCACTCACTCACTTATCTCTAGCTCACTTTACAAAAAAAAAACAGATTTTTTTCACTCTCCCTCTCTTTCTCTTTATTTTAGACAAGTGTGACTCAACACAATACGAGTGGCTGCTCTGCTCCACCATGAATCAGTATATGAAAATATGGAATTGGATGATTCAGTGGGATGAAAGGACAAATTATGTATTACAAATGCACACACACATCTACACTTAAACTTTTTCTTAATTTATTTTGTTAAACAAAATTAATCATATTTGTTTAATTAGCCGCCTAATATCTAAACAAAAATGTCTTGCAAATCAATCGGCAAGGGGTACAAAGCGCGTATACATACAATATTAGTTTGTGGTACGTGTGTTTGTGTATGTGTGTGTTGCCAAATCTTTGCGCATACAAAGAAAAATTTTGCAAAAAGAAAAAATAAAAATTTTCTTCTTCGCCTACGCAGTTTGCAAAAAAAATCCTAGACCTAACCTTAATTACTGGAATAGTAACAACTGCACTTACATTTTGTGGCAAAATTTTATATTTCCTTACTTTTCTTATTGTTTTAGCGTTAAAAAATGGCACTACACGGGGTTACTTTTGCTTAAACTTCACTAATTTTTTTGCTATTGCCACAAGAAGTATTTTTTGTTTCCAACGGGCGCAGTTAAATACTTTTTCTTTTCAGCAGATAAATAAAACACAAAATTTTTCAAACTCACTTTCTACTCAAACGACTGTCGACAAATGACTGTGAGTGTCAAATTTATAGATAAATATCCTAAAGTGTTTGACGCCGTCTTAATAACACATCAATGGCGGCTAACTGTATGTTCTGCAGCGGCGTTGAATAGCCGGCTAAACTAAAGGAGTCAATAATATGTACAAAAACTTATACTATGTTTCCACTGGCTTGAAATCTACTAGGTTTGCTTAAACCTCTTCAAGGTGTTTTCGCTGAGCTTACTCGTTTCCGATCCCGTAATTTTATTTTGATACAACGATAGTAATGTTAATATCCTTTAAATTTAAACATTAAAAATATAAAATTACAGTTGTAAAAATATAAATTTTATTATTAAATGCCACTTATTTTAAAATTATAGTTTTTTCTATTTCTATTTCAAAATTAAAAGTCACTTTTTCGACGAAAACATTCAACTTGAATGGATAGCCTCTAGTTGTATTTGCTTATCCTAGACACAACGCAGTGTTGTATTAGCAAATCTTGTTCGAAAAAATACATTTTCGACATGTTTTAAATCAAATCTAGTAGATTGAGTAGATTTGGATTTGTCAAAAATGTATGGCAAATCTACATGATTTCAACTAGTTTTGCCCAAATCCACTATATTTGCTCAAAACGCCTCAGTATAAACATAGCATTAAATATTATTTGAAAAAATTTTAAGCTTAAACTAAAGCTATAAATAATTTTTATAAAAAATATTGAATATTTTTTAAATTTTATTTTTTTTTTTATTTTTTTACGACGTTGACTCTTAAGATATAGCGGCGCAAGTTTTTGTATGTTTACAGAGTTGTCATATAAAGAATTAAGACTGTCGTATAGATTATTGTTTAATATTAAATATTTAACAAACACCCTGTTGTCATAGCAGAGTTGTAATCAGTGCTAACATATGTTTATTTATGGATTGCCAAATAATAAGAATAATTAAGGAACGTTTTTACTTAAAGTGGTTCGAAATTTTACTGGCCTTTTAAATGTGAACTTAATTGATATACAAATCAATAATTGATTTAAATATGCTTATTGCATATCTAGATATGCCTGTACATATTTGTATATAAATTTCAATAAAAATAATTTTATTTAAAATACTGAGCAAATTACCGACTATAACTGCATTATCGAACCGTTTTACTCACAATGATGATATTTATTTGAAAAATACAACTTTGTTTTACTTTGTGCTGCCCGAAAATTAAAATATTTAATAAAATGGGAAAGAATAAATAAATTAATTAAAATAATTGTAATAAGAGTTAAAGTCGACCATTTTTTCCAAAAAGTTTATTAAATATTTTATAAATAAAAGTCAAAAAGTTTATGTTTAAAAAGGTGAAAATTACTTTCATAAATTTAATAAGTAGAGAATCATTATATTCATAATTTTATTTATAAAATCTTTTAAAATGCCTAAAAATACAAATTTTCTATATTTAATTTTTCTTATGAAATGCCTTTTTTGTTCTAAATTTACTAATTTAAATGACTGAGTGAATTACATAAAAACTCAAATTCTGGGTTTTTCCATATTTGAAGTCTGAGTTAAAAAATGAAGGTTTGGAAAGGTATGTGTGCTTGAAAACTGTACCTGACTACTACTACAGCTGTAATTTATTTTCCAGTACTACAAAAACAATTTAAACCAAACTAAACAGAATTTGCTAAAATTGCAACACAGGTAGATATCCATTTTCATTTCCTTTCCATAAAACCAAACACATAATTTATAGAGTTCTATAGTTGGAACAAAAGTCGACTCTTATCCTTTGATTTAATTCCTATAATTATTTCTTAAAGCTTTCGATGCAGTTAAATGAATTCTTACGAAGGTGAAGGGTATACAAATGAAGAGTTAAAATAAAAATAGTTCTCGTGAGATAAAAAATAAATCTCGAAAAATGAAATAAAATAGTATTGCAAATATAATCCCGATTTTTTATATATTAACTTTCAAGATGCCACGTTTTAATCTCTCTCATTCCGTTTTTAATTATTTAAAATCGTTGAAAATTTTAAAATAACAGTCGATTTTAAGCTGACGCCGACAATATTAGTGTCAGCCGTCGCCGCCGGTAATATTTGTCAGCGCAGGGCTCTGGTGTCCATTGTGCAGAGACTCGCGCCGATTCGGCTTAAGCCGACTAAGCCTAGCCGCCGCCGCCGAAAATTTTTCATCTTAATACGGCTTGAAAATTTCGCCATATTTTGTACAATTTACAGAATACTTTCGCTAAATTTGTGGAATTTTACAATATAAAATTAATTTGTTTTCATCTAAGCAAGTTTTATTTTATCTAATAATAAGCCGCTCATTGAAATTTGGCCGGTGTAGAACTTTGCTCAACGTTCGATGTATATGCTTCGCCTCAGATATTTTCGTGTTTTCGCGCCTAATTCGAGTCGCTGCTTTGACTTCAAACCAGCTTCGTTGACGTCAACGGAGCTACACCTTTTTACATTGCTGGTATGTCATACCGTAAAGGGCTAGGGTATCGAACATGTGTATTTCAAATGGGAAGTGCAGTTGATGTCAATACTGCCGACTGCGAAAAGAAATTCTGCTAGAATTTTTCGCGCCAAACTGTTTTCTGCATTTTTTATTTGCCTTTATGGCAAAAAAATCTGTTGTTGTGTGTGTGCGAAAATCTAAAATGACAGAAATGATATTCTTTAAATAAAAAAATAATTTTTTACTAAAAATTGAAATTAATAAGATTGTATGCTATAATACTACTATACCGAGGATCATTGTACAAAGAAACAGCAAGTGTTGGGTTGAATTTAGTTAAATTGTTAATAATTATGATGAAATTTTTTTAAGGCAGGTTTTGTTTTCGTTTAATACCCAAAAGTGTTTATCGAAATCTATATTTGGCATATTTGTGAGATTTCAAGTGTTGAAATTCACTTTCATTACACTTTAATTCAATAGCATTCTCCAGTGAAAACGAAACTTGAATTCAAGTCGAACATTAGAATGTTTTTACAGTATAATGCAATGCACGAAATCTATATATGTACATACATACGTACATATATAAAATTCTAACGTTACTGACTGACTGACTGATTCATCATCGCACAGCCTAAACGATTTTAGCTAAAGAGCTTAAATTTGGACAGGAGGTTGGTCTCCCACCAAATAGATCCACTAAGACGGGATTTTTGGAAATTCGAATGATTAGGAAATTCGAATGATTAGGTTAAAAATGGTAAAAACGGGTAAATTCGGTAACCTCATATCTCCTAAACTATAAAAGATACAAAAACAGTTTAAAGCTTATCGTCATTCATTTAAAATATAAGCGGACAGGTGTCTGGTACTTTTTTCAAATTCGGCCCCTTTGGGGAATAAACGGGTAGAAACTGTAATTTGGTACTTCTTTTGCAACCCATGTATCTTTTAAACCAGAGAACATTCAAAAAATATTTTTGAATCCTTCATAACTTGTCGAACAAATAAAAATATGAAAAATATGACGAAAATTTATCTCGCTTACGATATCAATCGAAATTTCTATAGGCCATAATTGACCCTGCCCCCTTCAATAATTGATTTTAACGTTTTTTACGTACTTAATAATACCATAATAAAACAATTTTTGTTGGAACGAAAATATGTAATGCAAATATGTATATGAAATCTTCTTGAGAAAATGACTTAAACGCACATACATAAATGAATTTCAAATGTCGATGTCGACGAAAAAAACATTTTTAGGAACCGAAAAATAAAGTTATGAGGATCGGTCCGCCAATATAACCCTCTTACAGAAAATCAGTTTATAGCTAATACATCATTCCAAAAGTTATCATTATGATAGAATTATAGTAGAATTATAAAAAATACTTTAAATTATATAAGTATATTATTGATCCAAATCCACATTTAAGTCCCTAATCTGAAAATCACGGTGACGTTCTTATTAATCTAATGATCGGACCACTTCCGAAATTTGTTTTTTTACGACATATGATTTGCCGAATATAACTCTTACTTCTTACTTATTTTAATCATAAATTACCGCTAAAATAGGAATAGTCTGCCTTTAAAGTTGCGAGTTTTCATACATTCTAATAATGTTTTCAAAGTGAAACTTTTGGAATATTTTTCAATCTCTTTGTGATCCCTTTAAATGATGTTGTTCTGGAAGAACTTTAACATCCATGTAAACATTTTGGGTAATAAATTGGGGGACTACCAATGAGGGGAGCGGAACCTCCCATATGAATTAAATACAAAAATTCGTTTATCTGGGAAACTAATATAACTAAATTCTTCAAATTTTGCACGAACAACTTTAATATTCATCTGAACATTTTGGAGAAAAAAGGGCGGACTTTCATCTGGGGGGCTTGGAGCTCCCATATGAATTAAATAGAAAAATTCGTATATCTGAGAAACTATTAGAGCTAGAATCTTCAAATTTTACTGAAGAACATTTAGAGAATAACGGGCGAACTTTCAATTGGGGGCTTGGCACTTTCCATATGAATTAAATACAAAATTTTGTATATCTGGAAACTATTAGATTATTCAAATTTTTCATAGATTAAATTAAACGTGGAATCTCCCATATGTAACAAATTGTATATCTGGAAAACTATTGTAGTTAGAATCATCAAAATTGTTAAGTAGGTTTCTTATTTATATTGCTTTTAGGTAGCACAGCACACTGGGTATAGCTAGTAAATAAACAAATAAAATATCTTTGTTTTTACGTTATTGATCATTTTTTTAATGCAAAATTTTTTAGAAACTGATTTTCTGCAAGATGTTTTATATGGAAGATAGGGTTAAATATCGGCAGATCCTAGTAAAACTTGGAGAAAGGATTTGTTTTTAATTTTTAAGAATTTTTTATTCATCCCTGCATAATTTCTCATACAACTTTTGAGTTTGCTTTGTTTTGTTGTTATAAACAATATATTTGCTTCCAAAATCCTACTTTCTGATCTCTCGGATTGCGTTTTTATTTAAAATCGTTGAAAAATTAAAAACTAAACGTAGTTGAAAACTAAGCCGCCGCCGTTAATATTTGTCGGCGCAGGGCTCTGCCATTGTGCCAATTTTTAAGCATCATTTGCATTTATTTTCTGCGAAAACTTGAAAGAAGAAAAAGTGTTTAAACAATATGCCTAAAACTAAAAAAGATGATTCTACGAGCGACAGTGACTCTGGACCAGAAGATGTAAGTTGCGTATAAAATTATACAAGATATATTTCAACAACTGCTGCCATTTCAGAGACATTCTCCGGCCAAAAAGTCTAAAGAGACTTCGGACAAAAATTCCAAAAGTAGTAAGGATGATGGTGCCGATACAACTCATTGGGTTTTAGAGAAACAGCGCCAGGTGCGCATTAATGAATTTAAAGGGCGCAAATATGTTGACATACGCGAGTTCTATGAGAAAAATGGCGAAAGTATGCCGGGCAAGAAGGGTATTTCATTAACGTTGCAACAATGGAAGAAACTGCTAGAGGTGGCCGACGAAGTTACTCGAGCGGCAGAGCGCGATTAAATTGTTAAATTTTTCTTTTAGTTTTTGTAAATGAAATAAATTTGTTTCTTTTTTTAAATAAAACTATTTATTTATTAAGTAATCGTTAGTGGTTGGGAAACCGTTAAAACTCTTTAGTAAAGCTAATAACATCAAACTACTGCTAATTAAATACGACATAGGTACATACTATAAATTCATTTATATCGTGTACTCGGAACTCAAAAATATACTCCCAACACAATGCATATAGTTAAAACGATCAGAAAGGGCAGCCACGTTTTAATAAAACCTGCTAAGCCCACGTAGCGTCCACAAACGAACATCCAGAATGCTAAAATTATCATATTCCAGCTCGTGCGATTTTTGTAGCGCATACCACATAGCGCTGTTGCCACATGAGAGTGACAATTGTCACAGAATAGATTGTGCATACGAGTACCGTAGAGCACTGAAGCCTTGGAAACATTTTCGTCCCACATTAGAGCACTACCGTCTACATACTTGGGATTTAAGCGCAAGTAACGCGTTGGCCTGCCAAACCCCATATTATCTTCTGAAACGAAATAGGGACCAGCAAAATCTCGTATAACTCCATTCGACATACAAATACCCATATGGCCAATGAATGGGAAGAACCAAGTCAGCATAGGTATGGGAGTCCAAACAATGCAAAATGGAAAACGATCTGCTTTGAAGTCTATAACCGGCAATTCATCTTGTGAGTTTTCCATTTCAATATAAGTTCCTGGTGCTTGGGTTGGTGATGGGATGCTCTGTGTCATGCTAATTTACTAAAAGTTTTCTTCACTGTTTATTTTTCTTTTTTGTTTATTGTTTTGTTTTTTTTTTCCAAACAGCTGTAAATGTATTGATGTTATTATTTTTTAGTGCATGTTCTTTAGTGCTGCCATATGATTTGGCCGGATATTTACAGCAAAGTTGGCTGCAGTTGTTGTGTCAGCAAGAAGAAATTCAGCAAGTCAGAAATTCAGCCAGAAGACAGAGCCCTTTCGCTTGCTTTTATAAATCAGAATCAGCACGTGTAAAAAAAGTGCCAAATTATTTTCAGAAAATGTTAGTATTAAACAAAAGAAAAAAATATTAAAAATAACATATTTGAATAGCAGACTTAATTCTGCGTGTGCACATATAAAAAGTTATGAAAGTGTTGTGAAAATTATAGAAATATAAAGAAATTACTTTTTGGAATTTTTTCCCGTGAATAAGTGGTTCTTCGGCAACTACATTAAATCGGCAAAAAAAAACGATTGCAACACGACCTCTACAACTACAAAAGAAAAATATGTAGTCAAAATAATTCAAGAGAAATTTTTTATTTATTATAAATTCCTGCTAATAATTAAGAATGGAAATAATTAGCTTGAACATTTATTAGAAACGAGGAAAATATGGAATCGGCCATTTTTCATTAATTCTTTGGTGGTTTTTTTTCGACATTTTCTAGTGATGAATAATTTTTTCACATTCTCTTTTCATCTCCTTTCTTAACGGGCATTGTTGTTTTTGTTGCCGATGAAACACCACCTTTTTTTAACTCACAGAAAGGAAGAAAGAAAACATACGATTGAGTCAATGTATGTTGAGTGTGTGTGTATGTTTGTTGTTGGTGGTGCCATGAAAAGAAAACAGAAAGAATTGGCAAATGCGACTGGAATTGTGATTAGCATTTGATGAGGATGATGATGGTGTTGTTGTTGTACTGTATTGTATTTGTTTGTGTGTTTGAATGCCACTCAAAACTCAAATGAGTAAATTAAAATGGTGGAAAGCGTATGAGAAAGAAAAAAAGTAATAATTATTCACATTTACGAAAAAGAAGCTAAAAAGTGCACACGCGTGTGAAAAATAGAAAATTATTTTAAAAAAATTTGCAAAAAAGAAAAGAATTAACGAAAGTACAAAAATATATACACATTTTAGAAAATAATGTAAAGAAAATCTGCTAAAATACACCAAAACATCAAAAACTACTTTAAATCTTGAAAGAAATCATTTTTATAATTCTGTTTTGTTTTTTTTTTTTTCTCTGTCTATTTAGGGATGATCGAAGTGATGTACATGAAGGACCCGCCGGTATGGAACCCGAAGGTGTTATTGAATCAACCTGGCACGAAGTTTATGATAACTTCGATGACATGAATTTGCGCGAGGAACTTTTGCGTGGCATTTATGGTTATGGTTTCGAGAAACCTTCAGCTATCCAGCAACGCGCTATCATTCCTTGTGTGAGAGGCAGAGACGTCATTGCTCAAGCTCAGTCCGGTAAGTGTTGTTGCAGTATTTCCCCCACAACTACAAATAGTTTTTTGTTTACATTTTTCGTTTTTATTTTGTTTTGTCACTAAAGGTACTGGTAAAACTGCAACCTTCTCGATTGCCATTCTTCAACAAATCGATACGTCCATTCGTGACTGTCAAGCCTTGATTTTGGCACCAACTCGTGAGTTGGCTACTCAAATTCAACGTGTTGTCATGGCACTTGGCGAGTATATGAAAGTTCATTCCCACGCCTGCATTGGCGGAACAAATGTCCGTGAGGATGCCCGCAACTTGGAAGCTGGTTGTCACGTCGTTGTCGGCACACCCGGTCGTGTGTTCGATATGATCAACCGTAAGGTTCTTCGCACGAGTAACATTAAATTGTTCGTTTTGGACGAAGCCGATGAAATGTTGTCTCGTGGTTTCAAGGACCAGATCCAAGATGTTTTCAAGATGCTTCCTACCGATGTGCAGGTCATTCTTCTCTCGGCCACCATGCCACCAGATGTATTGGAAGTGAGTCGTTGTTTCATGCGTGACCCCGTTAGCATTTTAGTTAAGAAGGAAGAACTTACCTTGGAAGGTATTAAGCAATTCTACATCAATGTCAAACAAGAGAACTGGAAACTTGGTACCTTGTGTGATTTGTACGACACATTATCCATTACTCAGTCAGTAATCTTCTGCAACACCAGACGTAAGGTAAGCATCAGAACAAGCAATATATCTGACTTGAAAAAAGGGTTACTAATTTTATATTTCTGCTTTCCTAACAGGTCGATCAGTTGACTGAAGAGATGACCAACCACAACTTCACCGTTTCAGCTATGCACGGTGATATGGAACAACGCGATCGTGAATTGATCATGAAACAATTCCGTTCCGGTTCTTCTCGTGTTCTTATTACAACCGATTTACTGGCCCGTGGTATTGATGTCCAGCAAGTGTCATTGGTTATCAATTATGACTTGCCTTCAAATAGAGAAAATTACATTCATAGGTATGTCTGTCTGCACACACACGGGGAACAAATGCAAACAAATATCTAATATTTATTTACTTTCGTTTCTTTTAGAATTGGTCGTGGTGGTCGTTTCGGTCGTAAGGGTGTTGCTATCAACTTTATTACTGAAGAGGATCGTAGAATCCTTAAGGATATTGAACAATTCTATCACACTACTATTGAGGAAATGCCCGCTAATATTGCTGATTTAATTTAAACATATTTATTTTACTTTTTCTTTGTTTGTCCATTCGCACGTCATCAGCAGAAACTGCAGCAGCAACAGCAACAACAACCAACAGCAAAACAACAACTATTAAATTAATTTCAAAATAAAATACATAAAATAACAAGTAAAACCAGTCTTTAAAATCATTAAACTGGAATAAAATTGTAAAGAAAAATAAATACAAAAAACATAAAAGCCAACAAATAATATTAGAATTACTAATATAATTAAAATTTTAATAAATATAGCCTGTGTGAAATATACATATTTACGATATATGGAACAAAAAAAAAAACAAACACTGCCTAAAATAAATCTAATTATGCTTAAATGATGGGATATTGCCAACCCTGAACAGGTCGTTCCAACAACAATGGTCAGAAAGATAATTAAACTTCTGGAGCTAAGCGAAATTCTGTTCTTTTTATCTTTATAAGCACCATGTGTTTGATAATCAAACAACATTGGCATTAATATGATGATGTTGAGATAACTATTTCACTCGCATTATCTGAGGGGTACAAAAAATTGTTTATCAATTTCGGATTGTTCTAGGTGGAGTTTGTTTCATAACATGTCAACAACAATGTCAACTGAAAAACGCCAAAATCATATTTTACAATTATTTTAATTGGCGGTACACATTTCATGTTTAGCTTTCTTTTTTATTTTGTTTATTTGACTTAAGCCTGAATCAGTAAATTTCTCATTAACCTCAAATCGTATCGTTTATATTCATTCTATTTATTCTGACTGATGACTCAAGCCTTTACTCATATTTTCACAAAGTAGGTACATAGATACAGATATTTATACAGAACAGGGGGAGGGGGGTCAATGAACTGAACGAAACGAACGAAATTTTGTTGACTAAAGTATTGTTTATAAAAAATTACTAAAATTTGTAGATTATCGATGAAAATGTTTAAAAAATAAAACAAGCATTTTTTAGAATGCATGCAAATTTCTTCTGAATTTCATACGCTGAATCTGAATTCCTCTTTAACATCAAGTTTTCGAGATATCATGTCCTTAAAATAAACTATATTTGAGCCGTTATAAAAGTGCGAAGACATCTTTATTTATACAATTGTTTATGTCGACTGTAATCTGTCTGTGTAATCATAGGGATATTTAAATCTAAAACAAGTAACTTCCATAAATAAACAATCTGAATTTTTCTCTACATTTCTCCTTTATTACCCTTAGTTTGGGTTAATAATCTCGAAGTAGAATATACATATAATATTGGTATTACATGTATGATAAAATAGAGAAATTTTATCATATCTAATATAGCCGAAAATGGTTTTTAATCGTAATGCCACAATATCTGGAAACTCTGATGTGATGGAAAAATTTTGAATCTAGATTTGAATTTGATACTCAAAAAAGTATCAATAAAAAATATTGAAGGTAATTTTTTGGTGACTGTTTTTCGAATTTTAGGGAAACTCAAATTAAAAAAATATTTTTTTTTTGGATTCAGGATACTCGAATTATCCTAGATATAAATTTTCAGGTTTTTAGCTTGGCATACATTTTTTTTTTGATCCAGAAAGGGTTAATTTTTTCGAGGATGTTTAAATTTAAAATTTTCTTCAAAATTGAAGTTCTTGAATTATTCAAAATTCTGTTAATATATTGAGATTTCTAAAATTTTCCAAATAATATTTGTTCAAAATGTATTGGAATTAAATTTAAAAATATTTAACTTTTATTAGAAAACGATCTTTTGTAGTTTTGCTTTTTAATATTAATGCATAAACTAATTAAATTTTAATAATTCCTTAAATTTGAAAAAAAAAAATAAATAAAATATACAGTTTGTTGTTTGGCCAAGGGCCGTAAATTGAGGTTCATGTATAGTTTATTGCAATTAAAGCTGTGTTATCAATTTACGTTGAATAGCAGCCAGTTGTTTCGCTTGTTTAGTTAATAAGAGAAACAAAAACGCTTAAATTATAGCAAATGGCTAAAAATAATGTAACAAAATACTTATATATAACACATTCATATTTTTGTGCACTTTAATGATGTTTTATCAAAACAACAACAATGTTCATATAAAAAAAGAAGAAGCAGACAAAAATTATTAAAGCGAATACATAAAAGATGACATTTAAACAGCTGATTGGCTTTTTGTAGCTGAGAATGTATGCCAATACTGTCAAAAACTGTATATAAAAAATTATCTGTTAAAACCGAAACTGTCAAACTCCTTATATAAAAAATAATTAATTTCCACTGTCAACAACTCGCACAGATTCGTTTTATTAGCTATTAAATCAAGAAGAAGAATGCTAGAAGAAGCAGCATATTAATTAATTTTTCATACCGCATTTGACGACAGTATTAATAGAGAAATAGAAAAAAATATACCAAAAAATAGTCGGTGGTACACGCACGGTTAACATTATTTTTTAACTTGTTAGATTTTTTATCTCAACAATGGGTCAGAAGGTATCAAGAACTGACTTTGAATGGGTATACACGGAGGAACCGCATGCCTCACGCCGCAAAATTATATTGGAAAAATATCCACAAATCAAAAAGCTTTTCGGCTATGATCCGAATTTTAAGTGGGTGGCTGGGGCAATGGTGCTCACACAAATATTGGCTTTATTTATTGTTAAAGATTTCTCCTGGCCATTGCTGATATTAGCCGCATACTGTTTTGGTGGCATCCTCAATCATTCGCTGATGTTGGCTGTTCATGAGATATCGCATAATTTGGCATTTGGACACAGTCGACCGATGCACAATCGTATATTAGGTTTTATATGCAATTTACCGATTGGTTTGCCCATGTCAATATCATTTCGAAAATATCATTTGGAACATCATAGGTAAGTTTGTTTTTGATTTACATATTTATGTATATTTGTTGGGAGATATTCTTTTGGGAGGTCGTTGTCTGTTAAACCTTTGAATAAAATGCGTAAGCAAACATACCCATTAATTCCTCCTTATAAAATTGTAAAAATGTGTATAAGTATAAGGTATCCTTTTTAAGTGTGACCCATTTGGAATCTATTCTTATAGGTCAGTCGTTCCTTGTTTTTATCGATCCAATCAAACATTTTCCCCTTTTTCCATGTATCACGTTGTTAGTGTGTAATCTTATCTTTTGCCAAGAACAAAAACAAATAACAATTTGAGTATCTGGTTTATTACCGAGCAAAGTAAATGGCACGTAAATTGGGTGTCTGACTAACTAAATTAATCAGTAAAAAGTATAAAAATTTAATTCCTAATATTGGTAGTTAAAATTATATTTTAAAATTAGAAAAATAACATGCATACTATAGACAATGTATACATAAGTAATTCACATATAAATTTGTACATAGTACGTCACACATTTTGGTGGTGGGCGGTGATTCACTTTTCTCAATTTTCTTTTATTTCTAACAGTAAACAACAAGTGGCTTTATAGAACTTTTGTTTAACAACAAATTGTTTATTATTTGCAACACTATAGTAAACCAAACGACTAAGAATTAGTTTTTACATAAATTAAAGCATGCATGTACGTACATATATCCATGTAAACATTGTCCACAAATGAAATAATTTCGCTGAATATGAAATCGCTGTATAACAAAATTTTTTTTTTTTTTAATTTTTAATATGTTTCACATAATTCCTCTTCGTTCCAAACAAAGATTTCATAATTTAATACCATTTTTCTAATGGAATTAATGATATAAATTAGTTTCGTAAAGTTTACAAAATATGTATATTGTTATGTTTCATATAATTCCATTTCGTTCCTTTGTAAAATTTATCTTCAAATTAAAAAACTATTTTGAATTTTTTAAAAAAATTAAATGATTTCCAAAAATCTAGTTATATTTCAAATCACATTTTTAATATGTTTCACTTAATTCCACTTCGTTTCAAGCAAAGCTTTTATAATGTTTACATAAATAAATTTACAATGAATTTTGTAAAGTTTAAAACATATTTTTGCTATGCTTCTTTTAAATCCATTTTGTTCCTTTGTAAAATTTTTCTTCAAATTGACAAAAAATTGTGATTTTTTTTTTTAAATTTTAAATAATTTGCATACGTTATTTTTCATGTTGAAGCAAAATTTTTGACATGTTTCTCTTGATTCCATTTTGATCCAAACAAAATGTTCACAGTTTTTACTTAAATTCTACCATTTTCCAATGGTTAAGGATTTTGTAAAGTTTGAAATATATTTTTATTATGTTTCATGTAATTCCATTTCATTCCTTTACACTAATACCATAATTTTGTGAAAAATTTAGCACTTTTTTAAGCTGTTTAAATAGTTTCACATAAACAAGTTTTTTATTTTAATAAAACTCCCTTGTAATATTATTACAAAACAAGTTTCAGTATCACAATCTAACCAAAGACTTAAAGACCAGAACATTATAGATCCAAGCCTGAATTCATATTTCTAACTTTGTTATGTATAAAAAACTCTATTTTTTAGATACCAAGGCGATGAAGTAATAGATACTGATATACCCACATTACTAGAGGCTAAACTGTTCGATTCCACATTTGGTAAATTCCTTTGGGTATGTCTGCAGCCTTTCTTCTATATATTCCGTCCTCTAATTATAAATCCCAAGCCACCAACACGCTTGGAAATTATTAATACCATCATACAATTAACATTTAATGCGCTGGTTGTTTACTTTTTCGGCTGGAAAGCAATGGCTTATCTTGTATTGGGTTCCATTTTGGCTATGGGATTACATCCAGTGGCTGGTCACTTCATATCGGAACATTATATGTTTGCCAAGGGATTTGAGACCTACTCCTATTATGGCCCCCTTAACTGGATAACCTTTAATGTAGGCTATCACAATGAACATCATGATTTCCCCGCTGTACCGGGATCCCGTTTGCCGGAAGTTAAAAAAATAGCTCCTGAGTTCTATGACACAATGCCTCAACACACCAGCTGGGTGCGTGTATTGTACGACTTCATTATGGACCCTGCCGTAGGTCCCTACGCCCGTGTCAAACGTCATCAAAAGGGTCTGAAAACATAAGACTATTTTGTTTGTATAAACTTTTTTGAATAAGTATTTTCTTCGTTTAATTATGTGTTTTTTGTCTTATTAACGCTTTTATTTTGTTTATTGTATTTTTGAGCTTAAACCAAAAACAACCTAAAAAAATCTCTACACAAATTTTGAATATTGCATATAGAATATATATTTTTTTAAACGGTGAAAAAAATCATAGGTTTACGGCGTATAAGACAGCTGGAGAATATTAATTGATTTTTATTAAGGGGTAAAAAACACTACATTTGTACATACAATATACATTTTGCTAAAATAGTAAATAAATTGTATGTATGAAACATGCAAATTTCTAATTATTTTAAATATAATTAAGTTGCTAAACGAAAAACAAAAACAAAAAAACTAGTGACAAAGCAACTACATCCTATAGAAATATTAACAAATATTTCGCGTTTTAGTAAAAAAAATAATATAACATTGTACCTCAAAATAATATATTTATTTAATAATCTATGTATGAATGTAATGTAAAAATAAATAATGAACTAAAATAAAATTTCAAATTAAAAATATTAAATGTGTTTTACTATTAAAGATGTTAATGTATACACTAGTAATTTTAATGAATTTAATTTTTTCCTTTGTATTTTTTAAATTGACAAAAATTGTAAATTTTTTGGGGCACTTTAAATGATTTGTAAAAATTTAGTTATTTTTAAAATTTAAATTAAATTTTTAAAATATTTCACTTAATTACATTTCGTTCCAAATTCTCTGAAATTCTAATGAAAATTAAATTTTCTAAAAAAAAAAATATGTTAGTAAAAACCTCATTATTTTTAATAAAACTCTATATTTTAGTGTAATTTTTGTTTGTTTTTGTCGTGAAAAGTTTTGTTTTTTATTAAAAAATAAATTTTATAACAAATGCTCATTACTTCAAAAATTTTGTCGATTTTTCATGTAAATCATGTGGCAGCACACACAGCATGTTATTTTTCACATGAAGCATTAAGTAGCCAGATGTTTGACATTTAAAAATTGAAATAAATACAACCCTGTTATATTAGTTTTGCCGCATGATGGCACTGTTAAAACTCATTGTTGATCTCCTATCTCTATCACACTTATAAGTTATTGGGAAAATTCGAAAGAAACAGAAAATTTAAACATTTTTTTCGGCGGTTGACGCTGTTGAGCGCTGACAAAAATTTATTTTGTTCTGTCAATTAAATTCATACAAGTATTTGCTAGCGCTAAAAGTTTGAAATCTTCCTTTACTTTAAAACATAAAAACGAAATTAAAAACCATTATTCTTAGTTCAAAATTGAAATTTTCAAACAAAATAATAAAAATAAAAGTTGTGTTCTTGTGCAGTAAAAGAATTCAGTAAAAAAGGTATTGTCGCCAAGTTATAAAACAGAACTTGAAATTCCTTTTCTAAGGATTCCTTTGTGTTTGTAGGTACAAACATAACCTTACATTTTTCTGGAATTATCCTAAAAACAAAAAAAAAAAAAAAAATGAGTAAAGATATTTACTATTCCGACAAATACTATGATGAAAAATATGAATACAGGTAGGTTTAGATTCCTTAACTAATGAATTGTTCATTTAATAAAAACTGCTTAAATTTCTGTAGACATGTGGTGCTTCCTAAGGAGCTGGTGAAATTGGTACCCAAAACACATCTCATGTCTGAGGCGGAATGGCGTTCAATTGGTGTTCAACAGTCACGCGGCTGGATTCATTATATGATACATAAACCAGAGCCTCATATTTTACTATTTCGGCGACCCATACAACAGTAAACAGGTTTTATGTTTGGGAATGAAGCTCTCTGGCAATCAGTATTCAACTGCTTATACATACGAAATCATCCTCCCAACAACCATCACATTAAATGTAAATAGCCAAACACATTTCAAATCGGTAATTAAGTCGTTATTTTGCTGGATAAAGTCAAGAGCAATCAATGATAGAGTGCTAGTCGTTCGTTCGTTTAGTATTTTGCTAAATTATTTATTCTAAAAAAGTAAGAATCACTAATCATGGAAAAGCTGCAGCTGCTATCTGCTGCAAAGTTTTAAAATACATCATAACATTTGTTTTTCTATTTTTCAATATTTTGTTCATATTTTTTGTATAAAACAATATCTATTGCCAATTTAATATTTTTAATATGTTTATTTATTTTTTCTTTTGCTTTAAAATTTTCAACTTTATAAATATGAGAGTGAACAAAAATATTTAGTGGATACTTGGCATGCTCTTGACTCGATCCTGCTGTTTCTATAGTGGGATCGAATGTCTCCATTTTTTTATGTTTTACTTTTATGGGCCATATTTTAAAGAAATTTATTTTTTTTTTTTGTATTAATTTAATATTTAAGTATTACTGCTAGCTGTTTACATAGCATTTATGAATATTTTTCAAATACAAAATATAATAAAACGAACTACAAAAACAATTCTCTAAATAATATTGTTATTGGTTAAAATGCCAATTAATGTTTTAGCTGGTGATGAGATTCTTTCTTAAAAATAAATTTTAAAATATTCCAATATTTTTAATAACAAATTCGGTTTTAGTAAACAAAGTAAACAAGTTTTTAATGAAATATCTTCAGTATAGAATATGCTATAGTCCGGACTAGGCAATTATAGACTAGACTGTAGAACAGACTATGGACTACACTGGTGTCCAGATTATAGACTATACTATATCCCAAATATAGACTAGACTATTTTTCAGACTATAGACTAGACCATAATCCAAACACTTAAGAATATAGACATGTCGATACAGATTACGAATAGGATAATTGAAACGCTGATTTATCAAGAGGTTATTAAATTATTTTCGTAATACTTAGTTTAGTATATTAAACGATTTCAATATGTTATCATGTATTGCATAAAATATACATATTTGTTTAAATTCTTTATTGAATTAATAATTATTATAGTTACATTTGATTATTACATTATACATACATAATATAGTGCATGTAGTTTTTAACATAAATCTTTTTTTTTTTTTTGTCTTAATAATTCTTTTATGTTTAACCCTTTTAATTGTGGTTACATATTTAATTATTTATTTTTGTGTTTTTGCGCAAATCATGTGTTTTAAATGTTTTATAAAAATATGTAGCAAACTAAAGAACAAAAAAAGTGTGTGGTTGTGTATTATTTATTCGTAAATTTACGAAGTACATGTGTATGAAAAAAACTGAAATGATAGATATAGACAAGTAATAAACACATAATACAAGATTTCTATATAATAAATATAAACATAAATAAAAAATAACTATTTTATTTTAAAATTATTAGTTAGTTGAAATAAAAAAGTTTAAGTATGACTAAAATTAAAGATTTTTGTTAATGGAATAAATTAAGTGTTGTAATTGAGTGCTACAGTAATTATAGAAAAAGGTCTATTTAATAATGTTTATTAAATAATTTAATTTTCAATAAAGATTTTTTTTAAATATTAAGAAACACGCAAGAGTAGCATTCTGTTTTCACTAATATTACAAATTTAAACAATTTATATTAAAAACGTATTATAGACACTCTAACAAAATCACTTGAGCGTTTAGCGATTTTAGCAAATATGTACCTCCCGAGACTAATAACTACATACATGAAGAGGATTTTAATTCTAAGTCGGGTACCACCATCTAAAGCTTTGTTTTGCTATTTAAAGTAAAATACAATATTAATGTTAAATCAAATTAAAAATAAATATATGTATATAATGAATATATAAATAAATACATACATATGTATGTAGTATATATGAATGGTTTATAGTATATACATGAGATTTAGTAAAGGAAACATTTTAAATTGAAGATTCTTATAAATGTTATGTGTTATAATCATCATGTTGTGAACTGAAATAGCTAACTAGACCGCTAAATTCACTAGCTTGGCCATCGGGAACCGATGTTTGTTCGCTTGTTGGTGCATTATCTGTAGGACCAGGAGTTGAGGAATCATCGTTGACTTCTGTTGTGGGTGCTGGTGAACTTTGTGATCCGGAGGAATCACCGGTCGGTTGTACTGGTGACTTCTTATCAGTACTTGTGGTGTAGGCTTGCAGGGTAGTCAGTTTTTTGCGTGGCTCAGCCACCGGCACTGCTGCAATTATGGATTTTTCAGTTTGTGATGCTACGACGGGTTTTGGTGATGACGACGATTTTGGAGGAGCAGTTTTGATGGGTGAATCATGTCCTATTGCGACTGGCTTGCCACTGGAGCCATGTTCAGTTATTTCGGGGGTAGGTGGAGGGGTAGGCTGTGGTGTTGCCGTTGGTGTATTCGTAGGTTTAGCAGTTGCAGCAGATACTATAACTGAAGCAGGAGGTTGTGTTTGTGCTACTGAAATAGGAGGTATTTGTGTGGGAGGTCGTGGAGCACTGCCCGAACCAGAACGTTGTCCAGGTGGTGTTGTTAAAGGCGGTGGTGGTGGATAGAAGCCATATGGTGGGTAGGCACCTGTAAAATGTTTTTTTTTTATTTAATTACAATTTTCAAATAGAATTAAGCATTTGTTAAACTTACGCGAACCAGTCGAGTACTCGGGCGCATGCATTGGAGGCCTTAAATTCATACGCGGTCCAAAATTAGGATTGCCATACATAGGTGCCCTACTGAAAAAGGAATTCAAAATATACATATATAATAATTATAAACATAACATCTCTACTCTACAACTTTTACCTGTACATATTAAGATGTGGTGGTGGTGCATGACGAGCATTAGGTGGCATTCCCAGATATGGTGGTGGCACGTGATGCATAGGATTTCTTATTGAACCTGGTGTGTTTGATGAAGATGTTGGGTTAGCAGAAGGTCCTGAACTTGAACCCTTTAGAGGTGGCGGTGGACCGTATGATGATCGATTGGCAGGGTGTGGTGGTAATAGGCTTGGTGGCATCTGAGGAGGTCCCCGATGACGTGGAACTCCAACTTGTGGCATTCGATTGCCTGGTAAATCGTAAAATCTGGGACCTTCATACAAATAAAATAAATGTAGGGTTTATTATTGGATAAACATTATCTAAGGATCAACTTCAAATCTCACTTATGACAGTCAGTAACTTTTGTCAAATTGTAATGAATTTTAGAAATATGTATAGAAAAAGGAATTTTTAAGAGTTATAAGTCCATTTTCACAATTCATCTTTGATAATTTTTAACTCTCAAGTTTTATATAATTGAACCTATACAATGTTCTTTATCACATTTCTTATTTATTGAGTTAGATCGCGCATTCTGTGAAAATACTTAAATAAAGGAATGAATTAAATTTACGATACTTACCCTCAGCTCTTACATAAGCGCCACTTATTGGTGGTATATTCACCCCCGGTCTGCTAGTAACTGTATGTGATGTTGGTGGCATACTGGTTATGACACTAGCTTGCATTGGTAGCTTTGACGGCGAACCACTTTTAATTACACTTGGAGGCAGAGGCGAAGTGCCAGCAGTACCCATTGTATCACTGTTCTTGGCTGTTGCTGAAGTCAAAGCGGCATTTGTTGCAGTTGCTGCTGTAACGGCCGCAGCAGTTTGCTGTTTCTGTAGAGTGTCTCTTAGAGGTGTAATTTTTTTCCGCCGTCCTCTTGGTTTGTTTTCAGTTACTGGTTGAGGATTTGTCGATTTGTCCTGCGCTGGCTGACCGAGCAGAGGGGATGATTTCGCAAGGATCGAGGATGACTGTGGTGGTAGTGATTGAGGAGGAGGTCTAGCTGTTCCTAAAGCTTGTGAAATTGTCGGTTGCAAAGGAATATTGTGGATCATTCTATTAATTAGAGAATGATGTGAGGGAGAGGGCGTTCCAGGATAATTTCGATCCAAAGGTTGAGTTAAGGGAGCTGAAAGAGCATTTTGTAAAAGATGAGATGTAGTTGGTGGTCCACCGTGACGTTGCATTAAGTGATGAGTGTTTGACATGGATTCTTGCATCAAATATTGGTGACGTAGTAATGGAGGATGCATTGTTGGCATTGGTAGTCTCTTTCTCACAGGCTCTTGAAGTCCAGAGGCGGTTGGTGTTGCTAATGTTGCTGGTGTTGACTGGTGAGGACTGTTAGTGGGAAAAGGCGAAGCCACCGTGGCTGGCAACAGTGGTTTTTCTACATCCTTAGTTTTAACGGGCTTAACAATAGTAGGTGTTTTTAAGACCTCATCTGGTGTTGGTAGATCTCTAGCAACCGCTCCACCAAATTCTTCTTCCTCCTCCACCATACGAGCAATAGCATCTTCGTCCATATCTTCGGGCAAATCGTCGGGAAGATCGGCATCATCAAAATCATCAACGTCACCTACATCTGCAGTTAAATCGTCTAGATTTTCTCCACGTCGTTGTAAGTAGTCGATGTCAAGGACCTTGGCTTGTCGTATAACCGACAAGGGCACTGTTGACAGAGAATCTCCTCCTGCGGTCTTTGTAGGAGAACGTTTATCTTTATCGGCATCAGTTTTAATGGGAGTTAATCGTGGTGTAGCTACAAGTTTTGCACCTTCAGCATTCTTTTCAGCCAACATACGTTTTATTTCCTCTTGGCGTTTTATGAACTTCTCTCGCTCTTCGGGTGGTGTGTCAGGCCTTTGGACACCGGGCTTAATGCCACCATCCGAACTGTCATCATCGAAATCCTCAATGTAAGCATAGCGACGGCCTCTCGTGCGTCGTGTACTGTCTTCACTATCAGACTGGCTGACGTCATCATCTTCTGATGACTTCTTTTTCTTCTTCGTTTTTGTTGGTGGTTTTTCTTTGCCTTTGCCCTTAGTTTTTGACGAACTGGAAGTTGTTTTAAGTGGCTGAGAACGTGGCTGTTTACCCATACCCTTTCCAGATCCAATGTTGTCATTATCATCGTCGTCATCCTCATCTTCTTCCGACTCGCTAACATCATCATCTGAGTATTCGACTTTCTTGGGTTTTTTGACATGCGTACTCTTGGGTTGGGCAATTTTTGGCGCAAATGTATTGGAGGACTTTTTAGCTTTCTTTCGTTTGTTGGGCCTCCAGTTACCATCGGATTCATCAGTTGTGGTGTCATCGCACAAATCAGCGCTATCGATATTTTCCGATAGTTCAGAAATATCGTCATCCCCTTCGCTTTCTGTATAGTCCGAGTCATCTTTTCGTTTCTTTTTCGATTTTGGACGTTGCACGTCTTCATCATCGCTTTCATCCACGACAAACCTTCTATCTTTTCGGCGTTCACGGAAAGCTCTACGAGCTGCCTTGCGGCGTTTTTTCTTCGATTTGCCATGGCGTTTGTAGATCTCAAGACTGGAATCACTGTTTGAAGCTGAAATTGAGGTATCCTCTTCATCTTCATCATCCAATGAGGAGCCTTTAAAATCCTCATCCGAGGCATTGTCATCTTCGGAACTTATATCCAGAGTAGTAAGTTTACGAGATTTTTTCTTCTGCGATGGTTTGATATTAAACTTACGCATAATAGGTTCGGCATCACTGTCATCATCATCTTCTTTATTTATAATTTCTTTTTTCTCTTCCTTAGTTGTTTCTTTGGGTTCAGTCTTTATGGAATTCTCCTCTTTTGTTTCTTTGACATCAACTTCATTAACTTTTCCCTCTTCCTCTTTGGGTTTTACATCTGCCTCTTCATCACCATCTTCAATTTCTTTTTGACGGGCCTTTTCCTCCTTATCGGCTTCAATTATTGTAGAAATATCTTTTCCACGCCCCAAATTACCAGCACCGGCTGCTTCATCCATTTCTTTTTTGAGCGCTGAATTGATGAGATCGTCATACTCGTTGAGACGATAACTCACATTTATTTGTCTTCGCTTGCGTAATTTGTATATGGGTTCATTGTCACTTTCCGAGTAAGTAGATGACGAGGAAGAAGAATTACTTTCACTCTTGGACTTGTTGGAGTTCTGGGAATCACTGTCCGAGTCACTGCCACGTTTATGCTGGCGACTTCGTCTACTACGAATAGCATTATGTCGTCGATCACGGTGATTACGTTTGTCACTGTTTTTCGAGCGGTTTTTATTTTTCGTTTTGTTAGATTTCTTCTTTTTAGCGCTATCTAAGCTGTCATCGGAATTTGTACTTGTTTCGTCGTCATCGTTTTCATCCTGTGATTGATCTTCAGCACTAGAGTTTCCTTTGTTACGCTTTGCATTTGTTTTTCGTCCTTTCTTGTTTTTATATTTCTTACTTTCCTCCTCCTTTTCTTGACGAGCTTTTTCTTCCTCTGCTAAACGTTTAACTTGCTCTTCTTCTTTCTTTTTATTTTCAACCAAATCGTCAAACTCTTTCAATTGATTCTCTAAGGCTTTAATAAGTTGTTCTTGCTGACAAGGAGGACAATACCAATCACCCTCAGGAATGTAGAACAGAACTGGAGATAGACAGGAACAATGATAGCCTTTGTCACAGTTGTCACACAGTAGAATCCATTCAGGATGGTCTGATTTATTGCACTTTTGGCAGGCTTCCTCTTCTTCAGGATCTTCGTCTGCGTCTTCTTTGCGAACAGTACGTGCCCTTTTCATTGGCACTACCTGAGATTCATCTTCTATATCTGATTCGGGTGAAAATTCATGATCCGACTTAAAAAGTGGTGAACCAGGATCGGTTTCATAATGTGGTGGCTCCTCATCCTCTTCATCCGGTTCTTCTTGTTCCTCCGAACCAGACGACCAATTGCCATTCTTTCCCGGACATTTTTTCTTTTGTACTTTTTTCTTTGTTTCCACATCACTATCTTCAGACTCAGAAGATGGTTCAGTAGGTGGCACAACTGTGGGATCAGCTTGCTTTTCTGCTTTTTTCTTCTTTTTTAGCTCTTGTTTCATAGTTCTCAGTGCAATTTCTTCAAGTTTACGGCGCTCTGCTTCTTCTCGTATCTTTTGTTGGGCTATTCGTCGTGACTGCCTTACAGGAGTTTCACTGTCTACATCGATAATGTTAGTAGTATCGACATCACGTTGTTTGCGGACTCCTTTGGCTGGTGTTTTTGTTGTTGGACTTGATTTCTGTTTTCCAGTTTCAGATTTTGTTGGGGTTTGAACAGTTTTAGTTTCAATCTCTTCTTTGACATTTTCGGTAGAGCATGACTTATTTTTGTCATTTGGTGCTTTATCCGCAATTTTTTTCTAAAATAAAGAAAAATAAATTAACAAACTTTGGAATACGGTTAAAGTTTAATAATATTAGAGACAAATTTGTGCATTTTATTTTAAAAATGATTTTTTTTTTATTTTAGATGGACTGAAGTACTGATAGTGCCGATCTTGAGTTGATTTTTTAACAATTTGTATTATTTCTTACCTCTTTAACATCCTGTTTTGAATTGGTTATTTTAGTCTCCTTGCTTGGGGGTTCTTCTTCTTTAATTGCCTCAACTTTATCACAATCGTTTAAATCCTTTTTTGTTGAATTTTTTCCCGCACCTCTATTTCGTTTAGTCTGTAGATTCTCTACGTATATGGGAGCTGCACCACTTCGTCTTCCAGAGCGTCTGCCAGAAACAGGTGTTGAAGACTCTTTCTTAAATTCAACATCCTTTGAATCTGAAACGATTTCCTCTTCCTTGATAGTTTCTGTAGGTTTATCGCGATTTACAGAATCTTCCTTGTCTTTAGCAATTGTAGTAACTTCTTTTTTGGCTTCTGGTTCTTCCGGACTGTCATGTTGTACTGTTTCTTCACTGCTGCGACGCTTTCGTTGTCGTTCCGGTGTGGTTCTTGGTTTTTCAGTTACAATTTTCGCAACAATGGCTTTTGAGTCTTTGCTATCTTCAGTGGTTGTGGTCTCCATTATTTTGATATCACTTGAAATTTGTGAATTTAAATCTTGACTATTTGTACGTTTTCGGGGTACAGCATCTTCATCACTTTCTTCTTGTCTTATTTGAGTTAACAAATTCTTTTTTAGCGGTTTTGTAATGGGACTTTTATTGGGAGAAGGAAATAGAGTTTTTGCCGTGGTGGCAGTTGTATCATTGTCATTTTTTTCTGGCGTCTTTTTTAACTTTTTCTCTATTATCTCTGCTAAAGTTGGTTTAACTTTGGTGGGTGTAATTTGTGTGGGTTTTTTGATGGGAGTTTGCTGTTGGTTAATAGTTGAATTACTAGACTTTTCACAGATTTTTGCAAGCGCTTGATTATCATTTGCTGTATTATTATCTTTGATGGATTCCATAGTTGCAGATTTTTCTTCAGTTTTTAGTGCTGTAGCAGTTTGTTTAGACAGTATTATCTTTTTTCGTCTCCTGAGTTCTTCTTCGCCACCGCTTGATGAGGTTGTTTCATCATTGGCCGCTACCTTTTGAGCCTCTATTTTCTTCCTTAGTTCAGTATTGGTTTGTTTAGGACGCATCTTCAGTCTTTTGCCGCCTACATCTACATCATCATCTTCCAGTCCTAACTCTTGATCGTTGGCCATATCTTCTGGATTTTCGGAATTTAAATCTACTTCGCTTTCAGAATTTGGCGGTTTTGTAGGTATTGTTTGTAGTTGATCTGTCAGACGCCTCTTGCGGTTATAAATAGCTGGACTTGCAAGCTTAATGGTACTGCTTTCGTTAGAAGCAATTGATTTCTTTTCCAATATCTTTTGTTTAGATTCTCTAAGTTCTTTTTTTAAAGATTCTAGGGCAGACATTTTACTGGCATGTGCTTGTTGACTTATTGCATCTGTCTTAGTAGAATCTGTCTTTGAAATTGTTGTAATTTTACTTGACATTTGATTATCTTTTAAGGGAGGTTCTATATTAGGTTTTAACTCTGGCTGTTTTTGATTATCTTTAGACACTGACAATTTATTTGCAGTTTCTATTGGATTTGGTTGTTTTTCGTCTATTGCTTCGGTTTTGCTACCTGGTTCTTTAGATTTGTCTTCGCCATTAATTTGGCTTTTCTCTTCAGTAGGTTTCACTTGATTCTCATTTTCCTTAGGTTTTTCTTCTGAGCTCTCTGCAGGCTTAAGGGTTTTGTCCTCTAAAGTTTCCGCCAATTTTGTTGTATCCGCAGAAGGAACATCATCTTTAGGAACCGTTTTTTTAGGACTTAATATGAAAGTTGTTTTATTTTCTTCTTCTGGGGTAGATTTTTCCAATTCTGTCTCGGATTTAGCTTCCATATTGGTTTTTAATAACTCTGCATCATTTTTTGTGGCTGTCTTTGTAGGGCTCCCATCATCATTATTTTTATTTCCCACTAAACACTCTTTGCCACTACCTTCTCCCCAAACGTAAAACACATCTTCAACAATTTCTTCGCTTAGATCGTAACCATTTTCTTCATGATCATTTAGGTCGTAGTCGAAATAATATAAATAGTTACCAACATCGCAATCCTTACCAGATCCCTCACCAGTCACACGCACAACAGGGTCGCTTATTTCCTCACCCACTTCATTATCTTCCTCATCATCGTCATAATCCTCAAATAGTTTCTCCTCATTTTCATCTTCTTCGGCTGCTACGGAATCAATATCTTCCTCTTCTATTTCCTCCTCAACATCAGCATCTTCCTCGTCCGTTTCTTCGTCATAGTCTTCTTCACCCATTTCCTCGCTATTTTCATATTTGTTTAAAGTTGTAGAACGCTTGGAATCCATTAAAGATGGCCTGGATTTTTTAGTGCACTGGCTTGTTGCCCTTCATTTCGTGGCGGAGAATTGGCGTCTACTTGGTCTAAGGCTCGTTTTTTACCAGTGTTAATGGTGGATGTTGTATTGCTTTCATTATTGAGTACTTTATTTTGAGATATTAATAAAGGCTATAATAATACAAATAGTAAAGGAAATAAGATAATTTATTTCAAAAAGAAATTAGAAAGCTAAAATTATACCTTGACTTTTTTATTTTCATCTTTTACTTTGGGATCTTTTACCAACTTTTGTTCTAATTCATTGTCCTTTTTCTTTGTGCTTTTATTATCCTCTTCAATGTCATCCTCATCCTCCTCGTCCTCTGTCTCACCTTCGCTTTCACTTTCGTCTTCATATTCTTCTTCGACCTCTTCAAATTCTTCTTCGCCACTATCATTAGCCTCCGCTGGATTGTTGGACTTTTTCTGTTGCTTTGCATCTTCCTCTGCCGCTAACTCTTCCTCCCCTTTACCGACATCCTCTTTCAAACCCTTACCATGTAAAAGTTTAATACTTAGTTTCGGAACTTTTTGTTCATCTTCCTGCGAATCCTCCTCTTCTTCGGGTGGAGGAGGTTTTTGCTCTGGTTTGGTGTCAATACGACTGCTGCTACTGCTGGATGTATCCTCATCAACTACCCCGATATCGGCACTTGGCAAAACAACTTCACTACCCCTTAGGCGTTTTATTAAATTAACGAATTCATCACGATTTGTAGCTACCACCTGCCATATTTCTTCATCCAAATGCTCTTGATAAATGCGGATGTTGCAGTCGTTATCTTGGGTCACCCAATAGGCATGACCAAGACTATCACGTCCTATTGGTTGTGATCTTAACGAATCAGCACTAAGTGTCAAAATTTTAGCACGAAATTTTGTATTACGCTCAAATTGACATTCAAGCAGTTCCTGTAATTTTAATTTAGTTGTGTACTATGGTTGGAAATTAATTTAAATATATTTACCCTTAAAATACGAAGTTTAACTTTAACGCTGGCATTTTTGTAACCAAAACGTTCTACTTCCCAAGCATCATGGGCTGAATAGGTGAAACAAAACTTACTGAGAGCAGATTCCCAACTTTTCTCATGTACTGTTTTACGGGTTTTTCTTAAAAGTTTTATTTGCATTTCTCTTAGTTGGGGCGAAACTAGAATTGAAAAGAAAATTATGGATTTATTGAGAGGTTGATAGATAGAGTAATATATATATATAGATAGACAGATAGATAGATAGATATATAGATAGATAGATAGATAGATAGATAGATAGATAGATAGATAGATAGATAGATAGATGATAGATAGATAGATAGATAGATAGATAGATAGATAGATAGATAGATAGATAGATAGATAGATAGATAGATAGATAGATAGATAGATAGATAGATAGATAGATAGATAGCTAGCTCGCTCGCTCGCTCTAGCTCGCTCGCTCGCTCGCTCGCTCGCTCGCTCGCTCGCTCGCCGCTCGCTCGCCGCTCGCTCGCTCGCTCTCTCGCTCTCGCTCGCTCTCTCGCTCGCTCGCTCGCTCGCTCGTGCTCTCTCTCGATCGCTCGCTCGCTCGCTCGCTCTCGCTCGCTCGCTCGCTCGCTCGCTCGCTCCTCGCTCGCTCGCTCGCTCTCTCGCTCGCTCGCTCGCTCGCTCGCTCGCTCGCCTCTCGCTCGCTCGCTCGCTCCTCGCTCGCTCGCTCCGCTCGCTCGCCGCCTCGATAGATAGCTAGCTCGCTAGGATCTCTTTCTCTAGATAGGGTGCAACCCTCTGTCGGTACAAAATGAAACCAGTAAAACTATTCATATTGGTAGCTCCGTTAGTCCATTCCACAATCTCCCAGAAACTTGAACAAAAGGTTCAACTAACAAATTATTAAATCCAAAATATGCTCAGTTTTAAGTAGTGTTCCCAATAAGACCAGATATAATATATGATCATTTTACCAACTTTCTTATATATTTGTACATGTATATGTTCAAATGTATGCAAATGTTTATATCGGTGTGTATGTGTGTGTCCGCTACACGCTTTATTTAATACAACTAACTTACCTTCATCTGTTCTAGTCAACCATTGCATTAATAATTTAAAGTTGGGCAAATCTAGACCCAAATCGTTTGAAAACTTCTGTAGAAAATCACATATAATAGCAAAGTCAGGATCATTGGCGCAAGCATGTAAAGCAGATTTTAATGTCTCATCCACATCAACCTCTTTTGAGGCTGAACCTGACACCTCTGCTGCTGCTGCTGTTAGCATAGACGACGCCATCTCTGCATATTTTATTCAAAACCAACCAAAAAAATTCTGATCCGTATAAAAACGATAATTTAATAAAAAATATTCAAATTTTATTATGATTCAACTTGTTATTTTTTCACTTTTATATTTTTCTTGGTAAATTTTGATTTTTTCTTGTATTCTGGTAACCGTGAAAAATTTTCATTGCACTTTTTTCTTTCTGCTTTTTCACAAAAGGATGGGCAATTTTTTGCGAAATCTTTTCTTGATTGAATTTAAAATGTTAGGGACATTGTTTAGCAAAAGTTTAGTTTCAGATTGGACAACAACAGACGACACATATTTATACAATTTCGTTTTATTATTACAAAAATTAAAATTTTCGCAAAATTCTTTCAACAAAATACAACAAACTATACTCGTTCACAAGTATTTGTTAGAGTTGTAAAAGTATTGAATACTTAATATTGGCAAATATGTATGGGTATACAGTAGAAAAAAAAAACATTTTTTTCTTTTTTTATTAATAAGATATATTTTAGAGGAACCCTAAAATAAATTTAACAATTTTAAAATAAACAAATTACATTTTTTTAAACATGATTGTGAATTTTTCTTTGAAATTGATTAATAAAAACTTTAAAATGTTGTATTGGTTACTAATGTTTTCTAGTTGTCAAAAGTGTTTACAATTAACAACACTAACGAACAGAGTTGCATTAAAAGAGTTGTGGGAGAAAACATTTGTTATCGCAAATTATCGATAATATGTACAATTTGTTGAATACACTTTAATAATATAATAAATTGTAACAATAATTAGTATTTCAACATTTATTTGTATATTTTAAATAAAACATTTAAATCTTTATTTTGTTTAGTTGTTTTATTAGGAATAGTGTTGTACATGGTTGTACAAAAAATCAACCTTTTGTTCTAAGGTCAGGGGTGGTAAAAAAACCAAAGTAATTAAATTTGTGTATGATTTCATGCACAAATATATATATATATACAAGCTATAGCTTGTTATCTAATACTTTTAAGTTAGTTTAAAGAGATTTTAATTAAAAACAGTAAATTTAAATTAAAAAACCCAAAATTTCTATTTAAAGTTATTATTTGACGTCTTAGTACCAATTTAATCTGACATTTATTTTCCCGCTAAATTCATTAAAAATCGCTATAAAATAGAATCGCTCCGAGTCACGCCGAATTCGAGTCACTGCTTTTACTTTAAACCATCTACATATGTAGACGTCAACCAAGCTACACCTTTTCACATTGCTGGTATGGCAAACCTTAAAGGCTAGGACATCGAACATGTGTATTTTAAATGGGAAGTGCAGTTGATGCCAATTCTGCCGACTGCGAAAAGAAATTCTGCTAGAATTTTTTTCGCGCCAAACTGTTTTCTGCTTTTTTATTTGCTAAAAAATCTGTTGTGGTGTGTGTGCAAAAATCTAAAAAGAAATTTTTTTATAACAATTGAACTTACAAATTAATAAAATTGTATGCTATACTACTATGAATATTTTTTACATTTTAACATAGATGAATTTAATATAATTCGTTGAAATTTATACAAAATAATCCTCAATAAAATCTACCGAAATGGTTTTTTCCGTTTTTCAAAATTCAATCTAGATCAAATTTTATTTCAAATAATGTAAACAATAACATAGAAACCGTTATTTACAAAGCAAGCATAACAAATAAGTAGATGTGTAAAAATAGTTTATGCAATAAGTAAAACTAGCTTATAATAAATTGTTGATTACGACTTCTACACACAGATAGTAAGACAGGTTGCTGCATGCAGCTTTTTAAAATCGTTAGATTTGAATCTGCGTTGTACAACAGCGTTGCATGTTAATAGTGTTGTATTTTGAACATTGTCGCATACCCAACAGAGTCCCTATTCCGAAAATCACGCTGACGTAAATATTAATCTAATGATCAAAATCCATATTAGGGTTCTATAGTTGAAACGAAAAGTCGACTTTTTTCATTTAGTTAAAAGTCGACTTTTCGACTTCTCCACTTTTTGCATTTTATGAAAAGTCGATTTTCCGACTTTTTGACTTTTTTCATTTAATTAAAAGTCGATTTTTAGACTTTTCGATTATAAGTATTTTATAAATAGTCGACTTTTCAGCTTTTTTCGACTTTTCGAATTTTTCGACTTTTCGACTTTTTTCGACTTTTCGATTTTTTTACTATTTTTGACTTCTTTCGACTATTTTTTGACTTTTTTCGAGTTTTTCCGACTACTGTAGAGTTTTTGACTTTTTTTCCACTTTTTTAAGATTTTCGACTTTTTTGACTTGTTTCTACAATTTTCGAGTTTTCGACTTTTTCCGACTTTTCAACTTTTTACGACTTTCGACTTTCTTCGACTTTTTTCGACTTATCGACTTTCAGACTTTTCGACTTTTATTAACAAAGTCGACTTTTTTCACAGACCATAGTCGAGTTATAGACTTTTTGGAACAAAATAGTCGACTTCGACTTTTCGCCTTTTTTCGACAAAACGTCGATTGTTCGATTATTCGAAAGTCGATTTATAGAATCCTAATCCATATACATATGTATATGACCACTTCTGAAATTTGCTTTTTTACCACATATGATTTGATGGTGGGTATATAAGATTCGGCATAGCCGAATATAACACTTTGTTAATTATTTTAATCATAAAGAAATTACCGCCTAAATAGGAATAGTCTGCCTTTAGAGTTGCGAGTTTCATGTTTTCATATTAAAACTTTCATCCTCTTTGTGATCCCTTTAATTGATGTTGTTCTGGTTCTCATTAACCAACTGGACCTATTTCATTTTTTTTTTAAGAAAATCTTGACACTTATTTTTTATCCATCCCTGCATAATTTCTCATACAACTTTTGTGCCTGCTCTGTTTTGTTATAAACAATATATTTGCTTCCAAAATGCCACTTTTTGATCTCTCGGATTCCGTTTGTATTTAAAAAATCGTTGAAAATTTAAAAACTTACGTTTGTTTTTAAGCCGCCGCCGACATTTTTAGTGTAAATCGGCGTTAATATTTGTCGGCGCAGGGCTTTGCTGCTAACGCGCTAGAAATTTTGTTTCATTTTGTTTTCGAATTTTGTAAGAGTTTGTGTTTAATTTCGTGATTATTAAAAATGGGAGCGAAACAAACAAAAATCGAGGGCAGTTACCTACCCAGTACACCTGTTGCACCAGGTGCCAGTTCACGTATCATTAATATAAATGTTGAGGGAGAAAATAATAGCTTGGATCCAAGATCTCCAGCAGAGTGTCGTACACCAATCTATGTAAGTTTTGCAAACAATAAAATAAAAAACTAAATATTAATTTGTTATTGATTAAAAAAAATAGCTGCAAAATAAACGCATTGATACTAATTTACAACTGGCTCCAGCGGAGATGCCAGAACATGATCCTAATACAGATAATGCTTTGGATATACTGCGCAAACGTTTCTTTAAGGGCTTCACCTACAATCTCAATGATCCTCGATCGCCAAGCCTAAATCTTAATCGTACACCTTTGGTGTTTGAAGATACTTTAGAAAAATCCCTTACACTTGATGATACTTTCGCTGATCTTATGGTAGAACCTCGTTTACCTGAATGCGCAATTATAGACAAACAATCTGAGGATAAAACTGAAGAAAGATGTGTAGAAGATGTGGATATTGAAATGTCAGAAGAAAAGGTAATTGTAGATTTAGAAGCACCAACAAATACAAGTCCTCAGACTCCTATAATTCCGCAACAAGAATTCGATCCACGTTCTCCCTCAATTGGTGTAGAAAGAACACCAATTATTTTCACTGATGATGATGAAGTGGATGAAACAAATGAAGATGTTATGCTTGAGAATATATTGGCTACCTTAACGCTTAATTTAAATACCAGTGGCAATAGTAGTGTTGTGTCCCTGGCATCACAAACCAACAATGTTGATTTCAATGATACCAATGATTTGAACTCGGTAAACAAGCCCACGAACAAACATTTGGATCGTGTAAGAGCTGGCAAGAAGAGTTCACCAAAAGCCACACAACGTAAACCAAAGCGACGTCTATCGCGTCAACAAATTTATGAAGATCGGGAAAATCAAATACCCACAACACCTAAATTGAAATTTTCACAAATCGATAAAAACGATTCGTTAAAGGGTAAACGTACCCCTCTGAGCTGTGTGCGCAATCGTAATGGTCAGGCACGTTCCCGTTCGGTAGAATCTTCAGCTAAATCCTTTAAAACACGTTTAGCTCTTACCAGTTTCGATGATACTTTAAATCCTACTGATAACCATAAGGTGCCCAATTTGCGCATTATGCAGCAAGGTTCCCAAGATTCTTTAGAACTTTAATTGCTATTTTATTATATTGAAAATTTTATATACGCTATTTAGTTAAAGAAACATATTTTTTTTAATAAGTTAATATCTAATTTTTTCTGCTATTGTTTCATTATATTTTATGTATGTTTTTCATTTTGGCAAGATTTCCTACACCTACAGTTGTTGTAAAGTCTTGTTTTCTCATATGCCTTACTTTTTTTGAAGGGTTTAAACAATATAATATTGTTTTTGTGTTTTCTTTACTATAGAAAAATGCTATACAAATAAACAATTACTTTGATCATTTATTTTATATAATTTTTTTTTATTTTTTATTTTTTAGTTATACTTATATTTCTTATACATTATTTTCAATAATAATTTTGCAAGAAGTGGTATAGTTTACGCGGAAAGAAAAAGGCAGGATAAACACTTGTTTTCATATAATTAGGATTTAATGAAAAATTAAATATCTTAAGCATTAAGGCTCAGTATTTTATACCCACTTGGATGCTATTTATATGAACACTAGAGTTTATCTACATTATCGAGAATTTATGCACCATTTAATAATTTTTATTTATTTAATAATACAATACAGTTTATAATTCATTTTTTTAACATAATCGACATACATACATAAATAACAAAATAATAATATAATAATAATAATAATAAAATTTACATAAACTATACACATACATAACAGTTTTTGTTCGTTATTTATTTTTTATCTTTTGTTTGTTTATTATTTATTTAATTCAGTTAACAACTGCCTTCTTTTGTGGTTGTATTTATGCATATAAATAATTATAAATATATATTTTAATAATATAGATAAATAGATACATAGTACTTTCTACCATTCATTCATTTATATATTTCTGTTAACATTTTCTTTTTTTACGAATTTGTTTACTTTCATATTTGCAATTTCAATATCAGTTTGTTTTTTCGCTACATTTTTTTATGATTTTAAATATGTACTTAAATTATATTTGATTTTTTTTTTTAATTTCTATTGTATTAATGTAATTGGGAGAAGATCTGGTCATTTAAATTTGAAAAATAATTATTTATAATTTAAATTAAAGAAAAATCTAAGGCAGAGTTGTAGCTTATGAATTGAAATAAACAGCTGGAGTAAATTCGTGTTTGTGTTATGAGAATTGTTAGAAATTTGTTTAATAAAAACTTTTTGCTATGGATTGGCTTAAATTGTTTTTATTTGTTATGCTGATTTATTAAAAAAAACATAAGAGTTCAACTTTTTATTAACGCCTTACGACTAAAATAAAATGATTATTTACAATTAGAAAATATTTCTATAATTTAGCAAATGAAAATTTCATGATATTAATAGGAAGATTATAAGAATGTTATTGATCAAGATTGTTCGATAGAATAACTCGATTCTGCCTACAAACTGAAAGATTTTAGAAAGTTAACTTCTTAACCACATAGGAAAAATGAGTTTAGTCATGCATCCCTTTTGGGTAACACGATCTACATAACCGGCAACATTGACTACTCCTCTCCTAACAAGAACTTCACAGTGTCGATAGCGACTGACTCATTTCATTCAGTAAATAGATCGCTCAATATCTACACTGATTGACAATATGGCGAACTAGGGTCATTCGAATGTTCCAGGGAATAATATTGCTTACAAATGAAAGAAACTGAGTCAATTGTTGGTGTTCTACTATCCTGCTGTAAATTTCTAATTCAGCGGGAACTTTTCGGGAATGCTCAGTGTAGAAGGGTTTCCCTGAGCACCTGCTCAACTTCAAGACAGACACACTTAACTTCATCTCTTGACATGCCCTTTATAATTATAGATTAATCTTGTGGAAGTATCAAAACTTGAAACTTTGATGCAGAAAATTGCAAACTTCCTAATTACTTTGCTGGTTTTAAATAAAATCTAAAAAATAATGTCTTAATTAAAGCCCTAAATGTTAATGCCAAATTGTAAATGTTGTGTATGTTTGATGACCTTATAAATAATATTTCTATCTAAATTCGTATCTAATTAAATTCTGATATAAAAAGCACCTTTCCGAGATTAACAACAATTTAAGGTTTAATTTCGTTTTTCTTTTTGTATATAAATTAAATACCCCCAAAACTTTTTTAATAACTTTGCTTATCAACCCAAATTAATATTAGTACATAATAAGTTTCATGTTTATGTTTAGTATAACATTTTATCAAAAATTCTCTGAAGACCACTTTTCCAATAAAGCATTTCTTTTTTCTTTTGTTTTTGCTTTTTGACCAGACCTTTTTTTTTAAATTTGTATGTCATGGGAATAGGAATAATTAGTTCTACTTAATTAAACTATAAAATAAAATACATAAAAATTAATCATGAAAATTAAAACAATGATTGTTTAATACAATATGTTGAGGAGCATAACTCAGTTGCTATTTATCCCTTAATATTCTATACACATAGAGTGGATAATTTTTTTCTTATTTTTTGTCTTTTTGGCATTTCTCTAAAACACTGATAATACTTACAGCAAATAACTCTAACTCTTAGGTTTAATAGTTAACCAATTATGCATTCGTTTGTTCGTTCATTCACTGACCAAGCTTAGCTGGACTTAGCAAGAGTTCCGGCTCGTATTTACTGCCGGTAGTGGGTAGAGTGGTGGGCGTGGTAAATGATGTGGAGCCTATAAGACTGTTCGGCGAAAGTGTAGAAGAACTACCCGAATATGTGGAAGATAACATTGTTGTTGCGGGGAATTTTAAAGTTGTGCCGCTATAATTGCTTTCACTGCCAGTTGCTTTGGTATTTGGCACAGTTGTTGTTAGTGTATGACACAAAGTGTTGACATCCTGTACCACCTGGCCGGGTATAGTTTGCTGATGATGGGATGTGTTGCTATCGCATGTTGTTGTGCTGCTGAGTATAGAGGGAGCTGTTGAGGGTGCTGGAAGTGGTGCGGATGTAGAGGTTTTTACCAGACAAACACTGGGTGCCGAGGCTGGTAAGGCATAGGTAGAGGATGAGGCAGCAAGCACATGCATGGGCATACCCAGAGGACCACGTACCAGGCCTTCTGATCGTTCTGTATTACCGCGGGAAGAAATGGCAGCCGCCAGTGCAGCGGCATAAGTGCTAGCAGTATTTGTATTACTGCTGGTGGCGGCTGTTAAACCATTTGTCTGAGGCCTGGCAGTCAGTAAACTACTTTTCGCCATACTACTGGGTCCATGTATAGGCGGTATAAGACTGTTGTCGGCTTTGGAATAATTTAAAGACGAAATAGCTGCATCCATTGTAGTTGTTGCTGCTGATGTTGTTGTCGTTGGCAGAGGAGGTTGTGGCGATGAAAGCATTTCGTTGGTGATTTTAGGATTTCTAATAAACATCAATGATGTTTCCATTTCCTGCCGCTGGTTACTATCATTCTGTTGTCCCAGCAAATGTACCGAAGTTGTTGTTGGTTGATGAACAGCAGTACGTTGACGTGATAGTTTATTATTGTTGTTGTTGTTGCTGAAACCACTACTCGCACTCACTACTACTGAGCAGTCTTTCGCCTCTTCCTCCTCCACCTCTGTCTCTTTTAAAGGTGCTTTAAAAACGGCAGTATTAGTAGTTGTTAATTCTTTATCAATAGCTGCTTTAGGGCTTGAATTTGCTTTTTGCTCTTGGGACATGTCCATGGCGGACAATGTTTCTAAGGGTTTCTTATTGTCGTTGGTGGCTTCATTTGCATCAGCTTTGTGGAATTTGCAACAAAATTAAGTGAAATATTAGTAAGATTGGTCATTTCCGAAAAATTTTTCTACACTCGGATCTATAGAAGAGTTACTAGACTGATTTTTAAACGTGTCTAGCTATGTTTATAGTCTTATTAATAGTCGAGTCAATCTGTAGACGAGTTTAAACTCTAACCTATAGACCGTTAATATCTGTCTATAATCTGATCTATGAATTAATCTATATTTTGATCTATAGCCGAGTCTATAGTCCGATTTATAAACGAGTCTATAGTTTGATCTTTAGTCGCGTCAATTGGTAGATCTATTAAAGAGTTTATAGTCTGATCTATAGAGAAATGTACAGTATGATCTATAAACAAGTCTACAGAATGATCTATAGACGAATCTATAGAATACATGTAGATCTATAGACGAGTCTATATATTGATCTATAGTTTATATAATTATCTATAGTTCAGTCTATGGACGAGTCATAGAATGATCTATAGAGCCTATATACTGATATATAGAAAGATCTGTAGGCTAATCTATTGAATGATTTATAGACAAGTCTATAGACTTATTTTTAGACAACCATATAGTGTAATATATATTAAAATCTATAGTCTGATAGATGATCTTTAGACTTATTTTTAGACAACCATATAGTGTAATATATATTAAAATCTATAGTCTGATAGATGATCTTTAGACGAGTCGTAGTCTAGTTTGAGTCATACTTTTGATAAGCAATCAGTTAACATTAGTTTGAAATAATTGTGTCATATTTAAAAATAGCTGCAATTTACCATTAACATTTTCCGGTTCTTTGATTATGGGAACAATGCGATTCGTCATGGGTTTCTGTTCATTTTGCATAAACAATGAGGTGGTGGCGATTTGTCTCAAAGCTTCCATGCCCTCATTAAGCATTTTGCTATTCGATCTTTTGTGTGTAATGGGATATCTTGGCTTTAAGATAAAAATAAAAAAAAGAAACAAAATGGAATTAAAGCTAACTAAATTAAAAGAAGTCCACATTTTACCTGTTGTCCAGGACCTCGAGCTATCGAAACTCGTTTACTTTCTCCTCTCAGTAGTGAAGTGGTGTGATCGGCATCGATCTTGTTGCCATTTTTCTTACGCGCATTCTTCTTCGTTGATATACAATGGGAGGGACATATGCAAAATAATATTCGTAACATACAGCATATGAATCCAAGGCCTGCTCACACGATCGCAAGGAAATCAACAACAATAATTTATAATATTTTTTTAAAAATATTTGCCTTGAGCATAAGAAATAGATTAAAGTGTTTTTATTTGTTTGTTTCGTTACCTATAAGTGATGGCCCAATTAGACGCAATTCCACTGTTTTGAAGCCTTTCTCACCAGTACCTACAAATGCTATAACTAAACCAAGTGCTATTGTTCCCAGACCAACATATAAAAAAGCATTTGCAAAAGTGCTTGGACCACGCAGAACTCCCAAAAAGTCCTCATCATCCGAAGAACCGCCCAAGGAGGCATCTTGTATCTGTTAAATATTTTATCAAACATTTGTTTTTTTTAAGTTCAGGGGCTTGTTTTAAAGTTTTATTTAAGCAGTTTTAAAATTAAAAGCCTTTAGTGGCTGAAACATTTGAAAGGGAGTTTGTTTTCTTTTCTCAAATTTTTTAAAAGCCTTAAAAGCCAACAGCAATTATAAAATTATCCCTAAACATAAGTATATTAAAGCTTGAGCTGCAAGATTTTGTTTTTGATCATTAATATTTAGTGATTTTTATTACTTGCTCTCATAGGTAGTTTTATGCCATATGAACACTTACTCTATTTCTTTTTACCCAACGCCGGTGACAAGCTGCCGCTTGTTGTTGACTTTCTTGGACACTGCAACGACGTCCACGTTCCAACCAGGCAGCTCTTCCCTGGGCACACTAATAACACCACGCGAATGACAAAAGACAAAAATTTATTATTATTTAAATACCCACTTATTGTTATTGTTGTTTTATTTAATTTGTTTATTATAAATATGTTTTTGTTTGTATTTAAAACATCCAATAAATTACACAAAACGAAAAATTTAAGAAACATTAAGAAAAAATAGTAAGTTTATTGATAAATACTATGTACACGTAAATACATACATACTTAACATAAAATTTAAAAATTTCTAAAAGACACATCCATACGCACGTAGACAACTTTAGTCTACATTCTCGAGTCTATTTTCTGGTCTGTAATCTAATCTATAGCCTAGTATATAGTCTAGTCTATAATCTAGTCTAGTCTATAGTCTAGTCTATAGTCTAGTCTATAGTCTAGTCTATAGTCTAGTCTATAGTCTAGTCTATAGTCTAGTCTATAGTCTAGTCTATAGTCTAGTCTATAGTCTAGTCTATAGTCTAGTCTAGTCTAGTCTAGTCTAGTCTAGTCTAAAGTCTAGTCTATACTCTAGTCTATAGTCTAGTCTATACTCTAGTCTATAGTCTAGTCTATAGTCTAGTCTATAGTCTAGTCTATAGTCTAGTCTATAGTCTAGTCTATAGTCTAGTCTATAGTCTAGTCTATAGTCTAGTCTATAGTCTAGTCTATAGTCTAGTCTATAGTCTAGTCTATAGTCTAGTCTATAGTCTAGTCTATAGTCTAGTCTATAGTCTAGTCTATAGTCTAGTCTATAGTCTAGTCTATAGTCTAGTCTATAGTCTAGTCTATAGTCTAGTCTATAGTCTAGTCTATAGTCTAGTCTATAGTCTAGTCTATAGTCTAGTCTATAGTCTAGTCTATAGTCTAGTCTATAGTCTAGTCTATAGTCTAGTCTATAGTCTATAGTCTAGCCTATAGTCTAGTCTATAGTCTAGTCTATAGTCTAGTCTATAGTCTAGTCTATAGTCTAGTCTATAGTCTAGTCTATAGTCTAGTCTATAGTCTAGTCTATAGTCTAGTCTATAGTCTAGTCTATAGTCTAGTCTATAGTCTAGTCTATAGTCTAGTCTATAGTCTAGTCTAGTCTATAGTCTAGTCTATAGTCTAGTCTATAGTCTAGTCTATAGTCTAGTCTATAGTCTAGTCTATAGTCTAGTCTATAGTCTAGTCTATAGTCTAGTCTAATCTAGTCTATAGTCTAGTCTATAGTCTAGTCAATGGTCTAGTTTATAGTTTAGTGTATAGTCTTATATAGTTTAGTGTATAGGCTAGTCTGTAGAATAATCTGTAGTGTAGTCTATAGTCTAGCCTATAGTCTAGTCTATAGTCTAGCCTATAGTCTAGCCTATAGTCTAGTCTATAGTCTATCCTAAAGTCTAGTCTATAGTCTAGTCTATAGTCTAGTCTATAGACTAGTCTATAGTCTAGTCTATAGTCTAGTCTATAGTCTAGTCTACAGACTAGTCTATAGTTTAGACTATAGTGTATTCTATAGTCTTGTCTAAAGTCCAGTATGTAGTCTAGTCTATAGTAGTACTAGCAGGATTGTAGTTTCTATAGTCAAATCTTTAGTCTAGTGCATAGTCCAGTATATAGTCTAGTCTATAGTCTAGTCTAGTCCATAGACTGGTCTATAGTCTTGTCCATAGGCTGGACTTGATTATATAGTCCGGGGTAAAGTCTTTAGTCTGTACTATGGTCCATAATATGGAGTATAGTCTTTATAGCCAGGACTATAGTTTATAGTCTGGACTGTGGTCTGTTGTATGAACTGTAGTTTGTAGTATGACTAATAGTCTATATTCTCGACTATAATTTAGACCACAGTCTATCATGTACTTATGTATGTGTCTCTGCTAATAATTGATCAAAATAATAAAATAATTTTAATTTATCAATAAAAATTCAAGAAAAAAGTAAATTAAATAAAAACAAACTAAATATATTTATTATATATATGTATATATATAGTATAGTACGATTATGTAATAGTTATATATTTTAAATACATATAAAAAGATATGAATATTTATTTACATAGACACTTATAATTTAATAAGCAAGTGTTTTAAGTGTTTATTTTTTTTGGAAAGTATTTTTTTGTAGTTACAAATGCAATTCACCATTATGCCGAAAAATATAAAATAAAATCATGCTTTCTTAAAAAAAATACTGTTCATGCCAAAAGCATATACATATAACTATATAAATATTATGTATATTAAATATTTATTATGTACATTATTTTATATTATTATGTAAATGAAAGTATGTGTTTAAATGTTTGGAAGAAAAATGCATGTATGTAGTTTTTTGTATTTACACATGATTTGGTATAGGTACCATCTTGAAAATGACAAAAAAAAGAGAGAAAAAAGATAAAATTATAATAAAAAACCTATAGTACGTTTTACAAAGATTTTATGTAAATGATTTGCTGAATATTTGCTTTATTTTTGAAAATTTAAAACCCACAATTCCTAAGATTATAGTCTATTGTAAAGTGTTTTTCTTTTATTATTATTGAACAATAAAGGATTTAAATTTTTATAAAGTCATGAATTTTTTAAGAGATTTTTGTCTTTATTTTAAAGGCCGATATTAATTAAAATTACTAAGTAGTCGATTTTATAGAACATCAAAGAAATATTTATCCTTTGTTTAATAGAATAAAATATAACCTCGATTTTTAATAATAAAAGAATAATTTATATTAAAAAGAAATTGCATTATGGAGTGTTTGTAACACCTAGACGTATGATTAATGATAAATAGAAATATTGAGTATAGGCTATTGACTAATTGAAAAAATCGATTTTTCTCTTTACAGTATACAATACTACATATGTATAGTCCATATTCTAGTCTATAGTCTAGTATATAGCTTAGTATATAGTCTAATCTATAGTCTATAATCTATTTGTAGTCTAGTCTGTAGTCTAGTCTATAGTCTAGTCTATAGTCTAGTCTATAGTCTAGTCTATAGTCTAGTCTATAGTCTAGTCTATCTATAGTCTAGTCTATAGTCTAGTCTATAGTCTAGTCTATAGTCTAGTCTATAGTCTAGTCTATAGTCTAGTCTATAGTCTAGTCTATAGTCTAGTCTATAGTCTAGTCTATAGTCTAGTCTATAGTCTAGTCTATAGTCTAGTCTATAGTCTAGTCTATAGTCTAGTCTATAGTCTAGTCTATAGTCTAGTCTATAGTCTAGTCTATAGTCTAGTCTATAGTCTAGTCTATAGTCTAGTCTATAGTCTAGTCTATAGTCTAGTCTATAGTCTAGTCTATAGTCTAGTCTATAGTCTAGTCTATAGTCTAGTCTATAGTCTAGTCTATAGTCTAGTCTATAGTCTAGTCTATAGTCTAGTCTATAGTCTAGTCTATAGTCTAGTCTATAGTCTAGTCTATAGTCTAGTCTATAGTCTAGTCTATAGTCTAGTCTATAGTCTAGTCTATAGTCTAGTCTATAGTCTAGTCTATAGTCTAGTCTATAGTCTAGTCTATAGTCTAGTCTCTCGACTATAATCTATTCTCGACTATAGTCTAGTCCGTAGTCTGGGATATAGTCTAGTCCATAGCCTGGACTACAGTATAGTTCATAGTCTAGTATATAGGCAATTCATAGTTGGCCTTTATATTGCAAAAAAAAAACAAAAAATACAAGGCAAAGAGAATGTATCGATTTGTTTTGTTTCGCTTTGTACTTGTAAAATGAACAATCGCCAATGACAAAATAAATCATAAAATGATAGTTGCATGGTTAGATGATTTTCTGTGATTGTAAATAATAGTAAGTTAGTCAGTCTGTCAGTCAGACGAGATTTGACCTTTGTTTTGATTTCAACAAACAACAATATTGATTGTAAGTATTTGCATACAGAGAAAACACTACAAGTTATTGTCAGTTCTTGAGTACTAGCGACAAGAGCATTTACTAATACATAAAAAACAACAAAAAAGTGGAAAATCTCAAATCTCTGCAACAAAAGACTGCATCATACCAGATGATGACGATGATGTACTCATATATGAGACATCAAGATTGTTTGACGTTCGTATCAAGATTTCTATTTTATTTATGTATGTAAATTTACATTTGTTTGTATGAATTTGATTATACGTATACTACCTACCATGCATCAACATGTCTATGCATGCACCAACATCCGTTGTCTGAATGATGATGCACTTTTTAGGATTTATATTTATTTGTTATATTTTTGAGCTTTTGTTGCACAACTGAAATAAGGCCGTAAGAACTGGATTTATTAAACGAAATACAGTGACAGGCAAAAGTTATCAAAATGTTTGTCTTTGAAAATATGAAAAAGAAAACATTTGTAGATTGTTTAAGAAATAGAGCCTTAAAAAAAATTATAGACTTTTTGTAATTATTCCATATTTTTATGCAACACATTTTTCAGTTTCACTGTATCCTACACTCATTTTAATACTGTGCAGATGCACATATTCAATATGATCTTGAAAATCCTGAGAATTCAAGTCTAGAACACTTGTAATTAAAATAAGAAAATATAAAGGCGCTATTAAAATGGAAAATTATATTTTTTTTTATTAATTTTGTAATATTTAAGATGCGAACTGAATATCTTTTATAATTATCTTTAATAAGAAAATCTTAATTAAGAAAACATTTATTTTAAATGAATACAGCATGATAAACGTGTTCCCTAGAAATGTATTTCTAATGACTGTATAAAACAATTTAAAGAAGTTTGTTTAATATTTATCTCAAACATGCTTATGAATATAAATAAATACACATAAAAAACATTTAAATACTTGTTGCAACAACCATTTTATTATTTAAACGAAATAAAACACACATTTGTCATGTAAATAGAAGTTTGTATTTAATATGGAGTTCTTTATAATAAAGACATTATTACTTAAATTATGCATGCAACGACAATAATAAAATAATGAAATGTTGAAAAAAAGGGGACAAAACAAAATTGTGTCAATTTTGGAGTCAATTATGGCTGCT